GCGTGAGCAAGGTATAAGGTAGTTTGAACTTTGTCGAAAATAGATGAGAGGAATCCAGCATTTTCAGAGTAAATATCGCGAGGTAGAAAGGTAACTTCTTCGATACTTCGAGCTGAGGTATAAAAAGAGCCGCAGGGAATTGTTTCACGACCAAATACCAAAAAGTTAGGCGTATAACCAGTTATGGAGTTCACACAACTGTTCAACGCCTGTTGGATTTTAGGGAGGTGATTATCCCACTTCCTATGGTCATCACCTACGAGGGCAGCTAAAGCAGTAATAATTGTTCTGTTGTACCTTTCAGTAGGGTTTACTTGAGGACAATAGAATGGAGAATGAAATTTAAAAGGAATTTTATATTTTTTTAAGAAGGAAATGAATTCACGAGACTGGAATTGGGGTCCGTTGTCCATAATAGTGGTCTGAGGGACACCATGTGTTAGAAAAACCGAGTTCTCGAGAGAAGAGATTATATTAGGCGTGGTAGCACGCTTAAGGGGAAAGATTAAAGTATATTTAGTAAAACAGCAGTTAATAACTAAGATGTATTGATTACGATTTCTAGTCATGGGTAGTGGACCCATAAGATCAAGCGATATAGTCTGGAAGGGCCTAGAGCTAATTTTTGGTTTGCCCATTGGTCCGTAGGGTGAATGGTTTGGATGTTTATACGCCAGGCATGTGTCGCAGTTAGAGATAAATCTGGCAATGTCCTTAAACATACCAGACCAGTAATATCGTAATGAAAGTTTTTTGTAAGTTTTAAAGATACCTAGGTGAGGTTCAAGTTCAGAGCCATGGTTAGTTTCGATGAGCCTACATCTTTCATGAGGTAAAGGAACTTCTTTCCAAATGAAGTCATCATTGAGGCTATTTGGAGAATGAATACAACGATAAAGCTTGTTGTCTTTAATAGTATAATTCGGGTAGGAGTCAGGGTTATTTTGACATCCGAGCAAAATTTTGTTGTAGTGATCCAAATCACGATTAGGGGATGAAACTTCTGTGGAAATTGGAAGTACACCTTGAGGTGGCGAATCTGCAAAGTCTTTAGGTTTAGATCTAGATAATAGATCCGGAACAATATTATCTTTGCCTTTCTTATGTCTCAGGACAAAGTTAAAGCAAGATAAACGTAAAGTCCAACGAGCAAGTCTTCCTGAGGGATTAGATAAATTTAGGAACCACTTAAGGGCTGCGTGATCAGTAAAAATGGTAAATTGTTTACCATTGTCGAGATAGCAACGCCAGTGTTCAAGAGCAGTTATAACGGCCAAGGTTTCCCTTTCTGTAGTTGAGTAGTTTTGTTGGTTTTTATTAAGCGATTTGCTCATGTAGGCAATAACGACTTCTTTGTCGTTTTGAAGTTGAGTAAGCATTGCTCCTATACCATAGTTAGATGCATCGCAATGAACAGAAAATGGTAGATTAAAGTCTGGGCAAGCGAGCACAGGGGTAGTGACGAGAGCTTCTTTTAGTTTCTGAAACGCAGTTTCAGCTTCAGGGTTCCAAGAAAACTTGGGAGCATTCACTCCTGAGCAAGTTAATTTGTTCAGAGGAGCAGCAATAGTACTGAAATTCGGAATAAATCTCCGGAACCAACTACAGGTGCCGATGAACCTACGAACTTCTTTTTTAGAGGATGGTGTAGCATATTCCAGAATAGAGCGGATTTTGTCGGGATCAGCTCGTAGTCGAAATTCATCTACGATAAAGCCAAGATATTTAAGTTCATTTCTAAAGAATTGAGATTTTTCGAAATTTATAGTTAAGTTCGCAAATGAAAGTTTTTCATAGACTTTTAAGTGCAGAGCAATATGCTCGTCGAATGTTTCACTTATTACGACAATATCATCGAGATAACAGAAGACTTTGTTGTCAAAATCAGGGGTGAATAACATATCCATAAGTCTCTGTTGAGTAGCAGGGGAATTAGTTAAACCGAAGGGCATTACTTTAAATCTGTACATTCTCTGCCTGGAACGTAGAATGCAGTCTTGTCTTTGTCTGCCGGGTTAAGAAGAGTCTCCCAAAAAGCTTTGGCAATGTCAATACTAGACAGGTATTTGGCATTCCTAAGGTTATCTAAGATCTCGCTTATAAGGGGAAGGTTATATGCGACACGACGGGTAACAGAGTTCAGTTTCCTGCTGTCGACGCAGAAACGCCATTCACCATTTTTCTTGGGAGTAATAATCACTGGGGATAACCAAGGGCTTTCACAGGGTTCAATTACGTCCCATTCAAGCATTTTATCCACCTCATTCACTAATGCTTTTTGTTTTTCAGGGGATAATCTATAGCATCTTTGTTTGATAGGAAGAGAATCGCCAGTGTCGATTTTGTGAGTTATCAGATGAGTACGTCCCAGTACTCTTTTTTCCTCAAATGAGATACCTTTGAAGCGATGGATAATGCTATCGGCTATTTCCTTCTGGTCTTTAGTAAGATGGTCATAAGGAAGTACTTTTTTGTCATCGTTCTGAATAGATGAGCATTTGAGGGTTGAGAGACCAGCTGAAGATAATAAAGAAGGTAGCAAATTAAATTTGTTCCAAAAATCAATGCCAAGGATAAGGGAAGGAAAAAGTTCAGGAAAAGCATAAGCTTTAATTATATGAGTCTGCTCATTGAAGAACATTGGTACTTCAAAATAGCCCAATGATTTAATTCTTTGTTGGCTAGCAGTTGAAATAGAAATACAATCTGACTTGAAAAGCTTGAAGCCAAGTTTGAGAATTTCTAGATGGGAATTATTGCCGAAAATGGTAACTGAACTACCAGAGTCCAGAAGACCAGACATGTTTAGATTGTTAATTCGAACATTAATGAAAGGGCGTTTGGAATCTTTCTCATTAGAGTAGAATGTAGAAGAAATTTTATAGCAAGAAAAGAAATTTTTAAGTGTTGAAAGCCAAATATTCCAATCGTTAATGTCGAATTTAGGAGTGCTTTTCAAGTCGATAATTAGTTTTTTGAACTAGTACTAGGTTTAGGGTTACATTTAGGACAGTCTGCGGATTTAAAACCTTTCAATCCGCACTTGAAGCAAATGATAAAGCGAAGTTGAGAGCAAGTTTTAAGTTCGTGTCCATGTTGTCGACAACGAACGCAGAAAACGTCTTTTTGAAGGATGTTAACCTGATAAGGTTTTTTAAAGTATTGAGGTTTTTGAACAATAGCTAGAGGAGGAGTAGGAGGAGGGGTTTGAGGTTTATAGTTAAATTCTGGCGTTAAAGAATTTGAGATGGGTTCTTTGAAGTTTTGGTCTCTATCCAGGAATTTTTCATAATTTTGACAAGTAGATAAAAGGGAATCGATAGAGTTACAGTCCTTAAGTGCCACAAAGACTGAGTAGCAAGGTCTGATGTTTCTAAGAAGGATTTCAAGCTGTTCATTTTCAGTAAGCTTCTTTGTGAGACGTGAGAACATTCCTACCATGATAGAGATGTAAATGGCTATAGGTTCCTCTAAGCCTTGAGTACGACTTCTAATTGCCTCTAAGAGTTTATAGTCGTAATCGAAAAGGCCAAAGTCCTTTGTTAGCAATCGTGTGAGTTCTACCCAAGATAAGTTAGGATTCCTACTTATTTGGAATCTGAACCAATGAAGAGCGTTGTCAGTAAAAATTTCATAAGCCTGATTAATTAGAAGGTTTTTATCAAAGTTTCGGGAAATGCAGTATTCATCCAACTTTTGGAGAAAAGATCTAGGGCAGGATTTACCATTAAAAGTATATTTTTTTAGATCTCTAAAGATATTAGTGGTAATTGAAGGTTGAGGATAAGGAAAGGTTAAGGGTTGAGGCTAGGGTTGCCACCCGTACTTTATTATAAAGTATTGTACGTTATTTCGGGTAATTGTACTCTATACTTTATGCCAACAATAAAGTACGCGTTAATACTTTATTTAATTTGGTTTGATTACTCGGGGATTAATTTTGAAGAAAATATACATAAAGAGATTGATAGCAAACATTTTTGCGTAAAACGGACAGACAGTATGTATAAATAATATGTCGCTCTTAGCTCATTTTTGCAACATTGTCGTGGCTGTATGTATGGTTTTGTACCATGACCTTTCCACATTACTACAGATTTTTAGTGATAGAAGCCATGTACAATATATTTTATATTTAAGCTTACTAATAAAGTGGAATAAAAAGTACTTTATTTTGACACAATGTACTTTTTTTCTACTTTTAATATCCAATGTACTTTATTTGGACAGTAAAAAGGTGGTGACCCTAGTTGAGGCTGAGAAGAGGGTTGAAGAACTTCAGGTATATAAGTAGTTGGGGAATCTATAGGTGTAACTATATTTTCCGCTGGGTGAAAGGTAAAAGGCTCAAATTTATTATTTAAGTCGTCAAATTTAGTTTTAAGACAAGTAAAAGTAGTCAAGAGTTCAGGGTTAAAGTCAATGTCTATACGTTCAAATCTGTAATAAATATGGTTAAGGTAAGTTTCAATAAGGCGAGCATATTTAGAATCGCCCTGTAATAATCTATTAATTTTCCCTTCAAGGTAATTGATGGTAGTATCAAGTTGAGCAAGATCCTCATCAACTGGAAAAGGAGAAGTTAGAATATCCTCTGGTGAAGTTATCGAAGAGAGTCTTTGAATTTGTTTTCTCAACTCTAAGACTGTGTTTGCTGGATCCTCTAATCTAATTGTTACAGATCAGTTCAGCTTTGTTGAGGTGTTCAAATTTAATTAATCGAGGCATGGTTAAGAATAAAGATAAGATGTTAATAAAGTTCAAATTAAATACCTTGTTTCCTTCTAGAATAAAAATAAAATTAGAGAGTAAAATAAAGTTCAGTGAGGGAAGTAGTAAACAATAAAAGTTAAGATTCTAAGTAAAATAAGATGACTAATATTTACAATTAAATAGAGTATAAAGGTATTAAGATAAAGATAAATAAAGCAAGTTAAGAATATTTACAATATACATATATATAAATATATATTTTATGATAAAGGGGATTTTTTTATATTTCCAAATAAGATGCCAAAGGAATGAATAAGGATAGGGACACTAGAAGAAGTGTTGTTTTAGAATTTAGAGGAGAGGCTGGAGGGATAAATGAAGATAAAGGTAAGGAAGAGGAAAAACTAAAGGGAAGACCTGAAGACTAAACTAAAGAGTTGGGTGCCAATTTTGTCGTGTAGCGACAAAATAAAAAGAAAGAAAACAGGTAGAGGTTATAAAATATATATATTTACAAGAATAAGAATAATTTACAGGTTAAAAAAAGAATAGGGGTATGGTATGTGTGTGTAGTGTGGGGTGTGAAGTGGAAGTGGTGAAGTGGGTGTGGGTCGTCGGCGACGCGCTACAGGCAGACGGACGGCGCTCCTTGGAGGCAGAAGCGCTCCTGTGCAGCCGTCTTAGTTCTTGGCCTGCCCTGGTGGTGGCTGGCGGCGCTGCTGGTAGTTTGGCTGGCGTATATCGGCCAGAGGCAGGCGTTGATGAAACGGCAGGAGTCGGTAGAAGGCGGGCTGAAGCAGTTGGAGGCTGGCCGAAGAAGCTGGAGTCCAGGCGCAGTCCCACCGATGAGGTTGCGAGTACGTGAAGAGTAGTCTTTGAGGTCTTTCTTGAGTCCCGGGGCAGTCGGCCCCGGGACAAGGCCTTTTATTAATTTAGAGCTCGGTAGCGAGCTTTCAAAAGTTGAGTAGGCAACTTTTGCCGTAGAATTGAATGAATGATCAGGGAGGCTCGGCCTTTTATAGGTCCGGAACCATTTGAATTTAGACACGGTTCGAATCGAGCCAAAAAGAATCAAAGTAGGTGGTCTGTGGAGGTTGAATAGTCATAGACGTAGTTGGAGAGAGTATCCGTGTCATGGGTAGCCATGGCAATGGATAAAAAAACATTAGGTTGTCATAAATGTCAATAAAATAAATAAATTAAAAATAGAAAAATCAAAGCAAAATTAGTGAAAACAAGTAAATAACAGAATAAAGAGAAATGCCGGTAAGTGTCCAGCACTCTGGAATAGTGATTTTCAGTACAGAAGAAATTATTATACGTATTTACAAATCATTTTGTAAATACGTATAATAATGTGTGATATTTTTGAAATTATGTGTTTCCAGGAATAAATAATAAAATATATGATGTTGCCTGATGAATATCGATGATGTTATATGATAAAATGTGCGAAATGGAACCTATGATAATCGAAACCATGGGTCGAAACCATATTAAGGTACGTTACAGTATGTCTTTCAGTTTTGTATAGCTCCTGTAAAATTTTAATTTTACGTAATTATACTGTTTTGTTCGCCAGCTCCCCAAATGTTACTTTGTAATATTATGTAAAGTAAAGGAGAATGGAAGAAATTATGTAAGCTAGATTTTATTGAGATCTTTTATTACATAAAGTTGAATCAATACATTTTATAAGACCTAAGTATAAGGGCACCCACAACTACTCGAAGTTATTTATCATGCGATGAGTTAACATAGGGTATCTTTTTGGCAATCCATCTGCACTGAATACACGTCAATGAACTTTTAAATTTGTTCGTATTCTGTAATATGTAATGAAGTGTAAGTAACGGCAGAATTATTTTTAAACTTCGTTGAATATTTGTTAGCTTATCTTGATATGGTCCTTTACACCATGTTGTGTACACTAACCTTAAAAACTAATGTTTCTATTTTATCATTTCTTAATTGTAACAGCAATAAGAAAAGTAATAATAAACTTAATAATATTTTTATTTATAATGTCTTAGGTTTTACAATAAATTAAGTAATTCATTTGTTTTTTTTATGCTAAGTAGGCAAATGGCTCTATCTCATCTGATGTTAAGTTTAAGTGTTGCTTAACCTGTATTGTATGTGTCTTAATTGTTGTAAGAAGAAATAAATAAATTCATTAAATTTATTATTAAGTGGTGATGAAGTTTAGACGCGAAGATAGCTGGTACAGCAGTTTTAAACTGTTACACCAACCATCCTCACCTTGCCGGCATGCAGAAATGCTTCTTCACGTGTCTCTTATATTTTGAAAATTACTTATTTCTTGCAAACAATTCCGTCTTCTCGATCAGAAACAGTACGTTTGTGTCCACGACACAAACTTGACTTTGTATAACAAAATTCTGTACTGCAAATAAATATTCAGATACTCTCCACTATTATCACTATTACTATTATAACTTCCTAAAATAGAAATACTTATTTTTTTTTTTACTGAGGATCTTTCAATCTATCAATCTATCATTTATTTATTTATGGTACATATATACATGGTTATTATGCTTCAACATACATTCCAACTACGACCAGCCATCAGGCATACAAATATAGAATTAGCAACGGTACTTTAAATAATATTACATAAAAAAAACAATTCAAATAAAATTAAAATTCAAAATAAAATGTCATCATAATAATAATTGTCAGTAATCTTAATTAAACTTCTTATCACTTCTGTAATTTGTTAAGATTTTATTCCGTTTTGGCTGTTTACTACTTCTGTTTTGTTCAAATCTGTCTCCAAACGTGGTACCACATCGTCGGCTCTTTTTAAATCATCATTTTTCTTCTTGTCATTTCTTTTCTGATCACTTTGTCCTAAAAATGCAATAACATTTATAACACATATTTGATGACTAAAAAGGTTATCTCACGAAGTTATTTTAATTTTTATCATTTATTTTTTATAATCAATATTGTAAGATATTGGTCGTGAAGTTTACCTCCCAGCACCATTCCAATGAGTTGTGAAAATGGCATATCTATGAGTACTGTTACTAGGTAAGACGCAATTACTGCCACCATGAAGTCAATGAAGAACCGTTGTATCTGAAAATATTTTACACAAATTAGGCGTATAACATTCAGCATAATTTCTTCAACGTATTGAACAAACACAGCATTTATTTACGCCAAATACATAGTGCAAATCATTTTTATGCTATTTTGTGCATAAAACCGATGTATCTTTATCCGTTAAGTATGTTATTTTACTTTTATAAATTACTAGCTATCCTAGTGAACTTTATAACACCATAAAAATAAGGGTTGGCGGTATAAGGGTAAAAACTTAGAGTTGGATGTATTTTTCATCAAAAAAAATATATAAAACATTTTGTCTAAAAAATAAAAAAAAAACATTATCACTTCGGTCTATGAAAAATAGTTTACGCCCTATACTCAATCCTTCTGAATATACACACTTAATTTCATAAGAAACGGTCGAACCGCTTCACAAACACTGTGACACAATAATTTTGGTGACATCAACACGTGCATGACAAGTTGTTAAAATAGTGTATATTGTGAACAGCTTCGTCGCGAAGATGAGGGAGAAGCATGAGGAAACGCTCTTTACAAAACTACCCTATTAGTAATTTTGGAATAAGTAACTTACGGAGTATTCCACTGAGAAATATATCGGCGCAAGTGCTGTACCGTATATAATATATATGAGTGGGTAGTGCAGAATGTACATAGCATACGAGAGACGTCCCAGAATCTTGAATATGTGTAAAGATAAGAACCAGTTTATCGGACCTGAAACATGAAGTAAGGCAACTTAATTATATCAAGATCTTTATTCTCATCTTATCCTAACTATAATATGGGATATTAATGTAAAAATCCACATATTTCAACATTAGGTAATACAATAAAATAAAAAACTGGACGTCGATCAGTCCTTATGTCAGACTTTATTAATCATCTAAATAAAAAATTGTTTATTAAGTTTAGGATGTTACAAGCACTCATGAATGTCTACGGCTGGAGACCTTCTGCTGAGAAAAACCGGCAAGAAACTCAGCGAGGGCTGTTTTTATTCTCGCTGTAAATTATTATATACAGAGTCGTCAAGTAGAAAAATGACTTCAGTATGAGATGATTCATGAAGTCATCATCCATTACATAATGTGAAATATACACTAATAGTTCGCCTGCATTTTGATTGCTGTGTCATACAGTATAAATACAAAGTGTTATTTATATTAAGTATAACTTGACAAAAGGACAATGGGCAAAAATGTATTGGCACTGCACTCACGTCCGCCACGGTTTAAACTACATTTGTTTCAAAGGTATTATAGTCATGTTCATCTGTGCCAAAGCGCATCAAATTCCATCCCGGGGGTCTTTAGTTATTTTAAGTTAAATAGGTACAATTACTATAACGGACGAAAATTAATAAATCAAGGGAATGAATTAAGTTAGAGTAAATCCAATATTCCTCGCTTGTGTTGGGTTTTTTTTTCAAACTGATTGTTCGCTATATTTATTTGTTGTCTTCTACGTCAAACGGAGCGACCACAAATGATACAAACTTGCCCACGCCTCGGAGAAAATATGATTCCAGTTCATCCATAATTCACAAAACAGATAATCATGTTCCAATGTCCAAATCATGTTAGTTAAAAATCAACCAAGTGACAGGGAGCGCACTATCACAAGGAAGTAAGACGAAGGACTCCATATGAGTCGATCATTTGCAACTGCAAGTCCTTCAACACCCGTACCCCTACCTCGTAAAGCGTTTTGAGGTGTCTCAGTAAGTGCAGGATGGTCGGCAGGCTTTGTCATATCTGGTTGTATAGTACAATATGGCACATTATTATGGTAACTAATAATATTAAATGAAGGTACTATTAAATGAATTTATTTAGCTACATAAAATGCCCATGTGTCATATCTTTCGATTACCATTATATTTATTACCGTGTCATAAAAATAGGCAAATTTTTCATAGATCTTTCGATTCATAATAATTACATTGTTGGCGGAGCTGGGTGTTTTTTGCCCATTGTCCTTTCTTAGTAAAGTAGTAAAGAGAAGGCATCTCATCTCCGCTGCTAGCACCCGTTCAAGATCATGACGCATGAATTATCATACTAAGTGAATGATAGTATGTGGAGGTTAATATTTCTGACATCTTTTTATTTTTTAGGTGTATGGTTGCAAGAGCTTACAGACATACAATATTAAGAGGTAGAGTCTATATCTTAAGGGATTTCCTGATTAAACTGGACTAGCTGTCTGAAGTAGTAACCTCCATCTAACAGAAAACTACAGTAAGTTTTTTTTTTACATCGTATTTATTTAGAGGCTTTTACCGAAATTAAGAATAAGCCACCCGCCAGCCCAAATAACAAAATTATTATAAACATTATGACGGCCGACTACTACAGTAAGATAAAGCTTTATTTAGATGATGTTGTATTTCTGTCTGTAATAAGTTTTCCAAAGCTTCATGGATACATGGATATGGTTACCAAGCTTGTTCACCATACTCTTCATAAAAAGCCTAGTAGCATGCAAGATTGCCTACAATGCCATTTACACGCAGGAGTGCGTATTGACAAATTAAGGCTAAGACAGCGTGTCAAAAACTATTTAATTATATATAAAAAATACTGATAAGCGCAGGATCATCAAACGTACCACCATAACCTTTAGCGCATGCAAACGTCAACCATCCAATACTTGCTGCCCAAGCCGGTCTCATGAATGAATTTAGGATGCTATCTACAGTCTGATTGTCCCAGTCAGCTTTCATAGTGAAATAAGTTGAGATAAACACGCAGAAGTTAGTCGCGCCTGCTAAAATCCATAGCATAACGACCAGAACCTGAAATGGTATATAAATAATCTTAGAATTCTATTGGTCAGGTGTATCATTAGCGCGCTACCTAACAAGATCCTATTAGGTAGCGTGAATCTGGTAGACTAGGAAATCGTTCCCACTTCTCGGGTGTCGGTCCAGCATTTTATCGGATGCTCCAGTGGCAGAGCATTTTATATAATTTCTTGTCAGCTCCAACAGAACGGTCCGATCGGTTTCCGACAAAAGTGAATAACTTCATAGAAAATTCTGTGCCACTTTAACATCCGATTAAAATCTGAACCCAACAATTGAAAACGAGCATTAAGTGTGAGTTGCGCCACAGAGATAATTAAATTTAAAATTTTGAAGGACGGGCATTTTTCCCTTCGAGCCCATAACAACATGCGATATATCATTGGAAAGAATGTTTTATAGATAAAGTATACTTTATTTTTTGTAAAGGAGGAGTGTCAGCCAGATTTAAACAAAAAGATTTTTTTTTAATTCACTATGAAATGGATGGTTTTACAAGCATTATATTTTTTTGTAGGTAGTACAATTCAGTTACTCTATGCCAACTACAATATCGACCTGTGTCAATATGAGCGGGCGCATCTAAAATGTATGATATAATTATAACTTGTCTGTATACTGGTTTGTTATGTTTTTCTTCACGCGAGAATTTAAAATGCGTCCGATGAGACAAGGCAACCAATAACATACGTATTTATAAACAAATGATTACTTTGTTTCCAAGTAATCAAGTAACTGGTATCGATTCAGGCATGATTTTCTAATGTTAAATAAATAATACATTATTCACCGAGGAGAGAAAGTGATCGGTTACCAACGAGGGTGTAGTTTGAGGCACGAAACGCCGCCGGCGAGGGCCTTAATATACCCGAGTTGTGAATAGCCAATTCGAGGGGTACATAGTGTTTTATACTATACCCACGAGGAAATAAAGACAGATTCTTTAATTAAAATTTATATAAAAGTTGTTACAGTTACTAAACTTTTTCCTGGGAGCATAATATTGATATCTTGATTTCACGACTAATAGGTTCTTAATGACTGCTTAACTTTTATAGTAGTTTCTTTTAATTCTAGCGGTGTCGATAAATTTTCATTATCAGTAATATACAGAAGATAGGAAAGATAGTATAATAAAACCTATGTTGAATAAAATAATCGGTGAGCTTTTGACTTTTATTCGTTTTCCAAAATTAATGTTCTGAAAGCAAATAATTTTAGAGAAAAATATTAGAAAGCCTGCAGAACGATACTGACCACATGCTTTTTCGGAACATAAATAAAAAAAACATGACGTTAACAATGAATTATAATAGACTTTTATTCCCGCTTACCAGTACAACAGCAATGAGGTCTTTTCTGCTTCATTGAAAAAAATATAATCAAGCACTTTCTGGGCAGGTACAGTTTAAATTTAATTTAACATAGTGTATCGTTGTCATTCTGTATAGTGTTAGAAGTTTAGGATTAAAGAATCATGCCAGAATCGATATCATTAATTGACACTAGCATTCTTCAATAAAACAATTAATAGTTACTTAGCAACAAAATGGTTTCTATTGAATTCTCATTTTTGAGAGTTCTTACTTTGATCAATTTCTTAAGTACGGAATCAAAAATATTTCTTAAGTAAAAATGTTGTACTTATGAGCATGCGCTGCGTTAAGCGGGAAAACGGAGCGGACGTCCGCACTATGTGCAGTTTTTATGTCATTTCATAGAACAGCTCGGCACAAGAGACATACAGCTGCTCTATAAAATAACAAGCAACGAACACGCCGAGCGGACGCCCGCTGAAGACTGTTATATAGCATTTGTTAATAATCTTAATATATATAAATCTCGTGTCACAATGTTTGTCCTCAATGGACTCCTAAACCACTGAACCGATTATAATAAAATTCGCACACCATGTGCAGTTCGATCCAACTTGAGAGATAGGATAGTTTAAATCTCAAATTATAGTCGCAATTTTAATTTATTGCAAATTATTGCTTTTGGGCGGTACGAAGTTCGCCGAGTCAGCTAGTTAGGTATTAAAACACTCATATCATACTGATATCACAACAACCCATATTCGTGCTTTAATACCCCTCATTATACAGTAGTTGCATAAATAACTATTACCTTAGAAAGCCTGATTGTTTTCCCTTTACACAAGTGCATCACATATCCAAAAAGCATTCCGACGAAAAACGGTGAGATACGAGGCAAAGTGTGGAAATAATAGTCGAAGTAATATCGCATTGCATCTTCTAACGACCGACTAAAATTTAAATAAGAAAATAAATCTAAGCATACATATAGTAAGTACAATAAAAAAATATTTACAGTTGGAAAACACACACCAAATTTATTACATAACATTGGCCAAAGTCAGATTTGGATAAAACCTCTATATCTGTCTTCTTTCTGCTAAACAAAGGTGACAGTATCATTTTACACTGATTTATATACTGATTGTCTTCAGTCCACGTTTTGTAATAAAGTGGACAAAGTTTAAAGAAGACGACAGTTCTTAAGGATAAAAGATAAATAAAACTAAACTGCATCGTCAAAATATTTATAAAAAAAATCTTTTTTATATTTTTTTGTGAAATAATAATTACGTAATATTACAAATCTTTGGTGAAGGAGCTCTATGATGTTGTAGTTAGAACTTTTGATGTGCGACGGTAGGAGATAAATAACTGCAATGGCCGGTCATGGTCATGAAAAATATATAATCGAACCTCCGAAATAATGCCAATAATTTCTAGTGGGCTGGTGTGGTGGGTCATCGTACTCTATATTCTTTTCATAGATAATCTGTGCTCCAGTATTACAGATATGCTGATGATTAGATTTCTGATGTAACTTTGCTATTGCTATGTTTAATGTAAATAGAGTAAGCTCGATATCAACAACACGCACTGGTAGTTATTAATCCTATGGACTATTCCAGAAACAAGACACAAAATTATTTCTATTGATTTATTTTGTGACATGTAGCTCTCGCTTTGTAGATCAAAATATAAGATTCCTCTTACGATGTTTTGTTGTACAGAAAATAATAAAAAATATTTTTACTTACGATAAGGCAATAAAAGCAGACTGAAACTCCATTAGGAAGTTGTAAATTGATGATGCCGTGATCACAATTAAGACAGCGGCTGTTAACGCAATCCATGCTGATTTTTTACTTCGTCCAAGAACCCAGAACAGCACTAGCGGTGATAGAATGTAGGCTTGCATGTCAATGGCCAAGTACCAACTGTGACTAAGGCACTGAAAATTTAAACAGTAAAATGATAAAACTTAGTCAAATGAAATTTGATGTTCTTCTGGTGTTTTTTTTTCTAGTACACTTTTCTTTAGATTTAAACATCTAGCAGTTAAATGCTTAAAAATAAATAAAAACATAACTGTAATTGCTATTTCTTCTTTTAAATGTTTACTACTTGAAAAAATATTCATTTGACATTGTGGATTACCTACAATGCGAAGAAATGGCGCTGCCTTGCAGCTTAAGGCTAGGAAAATTTCGACGCGGCGAATAGGGCCGTAGTAGCATAAATAAATAAAAACATAAAAATTGCATAGTTGCTGAGACAAGTAGAAACGATTTTTTTTTTATAAATATGAATTAGAAAAAGAATTGGTCTGAGAAAGATACTGTTCAATATACTGTACGGTACAGTATAGTCCTCGACTTACGTCGTTTCAATTTATGTCGTTTCAAGTTACGTCAAACAATGTTTTGACACTATTCCTCAAGCATACGTCGTTTGTTTCGTTTTCCGGCATAGGAGAATTTAGCTATCGCGAGGTCAATGTCCGTGGGGCCAGCGTCCATGGGGATGTCTCGACGTCGTTTCAATTTACGTCGCGTATTTTGAGAATCTAACATGCCGTAAGTACGAGGACTGCCTATATTTTCATAACAGAAAGTTCAAATAGCGTTTTGCAAATACTGGTACCTAGGAAATTATTTGAGTAGTAATTTGTTTTGTATATGTTTGAAACGGAGTTCTACCAACTGCGTTTGATATAATGTGGAACGTGTGAAATTAATTTAAATAAATAGTTTGCTTACCATATTTCGTGCATTCACTAAATTCTGAACATATAACAAAGTGCTCCACCAGTATTGCCTACAGTTATTTGTATTCCGTGCAATCGGTTCCCAAAAAGGGCCATCTGTTATTCGATTAAAGAATGATACTTGGAGAAGAATTGCTGTAGCCAGCACAGGAAACATGCGCAAAAGTCTATTCAAATAGAACAGATGGAGATTTTTAATGAGATTAACTGAAACAATATGAAAATCTGTATGATTTGACTAGTCCAGAAACAAACAGCGATAAACAACAAATCAGGTCATAATAGTATGTATGATGAACAGAGCTGCGACGGGAGAATCGCTCCACGCAGCGAAGTTTTATAAAATAACATGAAACAAATACATGAAGCGGTCGTATGCTCCGTGTGCCCGCTTAACGTAGCGCAGACTCTTAAAACAATTCTTACCTTATCGGCGTGAACCCAATTTTGTACCCCGTAAAAGGATTTTAAAAGGCTCAAGGCTTTTAAATGATCTTAAAAAAAGGTAAGCAATTAATCTTAATCGCATCGAAAAAATACAATTGGTAACATAACCAAACTGTATTTTAGGTGATAACTGAGTATTTTTTGAGGATAATTTAAATATTTTCCATTTAAAAATGGAACCCATTATATAAATACTAATTAATTGACTGTGAGCTGACCGAATCAGTCATAACAACAAATAGGACATATTGGTTTACGTGACATGCCTCTCAGACGAATGCAGAGTTCTCTCTCTGCTAAAGAACTAAAAGCCTAATCCAATCTTATCTGAATCATGTTACCGCTAGCTTTAAAGCAAGTCATCAAAATTAAATTTATTGACTAAATTTAAAAACATTCTATACTTACTACTGGTTAATTTAGAAGCTACTGTGTAAACTAATAATAGACCACTGATTACGAAGAAAGTATCCACAGTAATATTAGCACCAGTGATCCACAGAGATGTGAACGAGGTCAAAAACTGTAAATAAAACAATTCAGATCTTAATTTTATTGAAATGGTATCGTCGTGAATTTAACACAGGAGCAGTCATAACAGTTTAAATAGTATAATTAATTACAAATGTCGCTACAATGAATAAACTCATGTAAGAATGTCGATGGTATCGATAAATCAGAGCTTCTAAAAATTTACTTGACTGTACCAGGTTCAAAAAATTTAAAAAAATACTGTCAAAAATTTCATGATGGAAAGATCGCTAAGATAGATAAGTTAGGGTAACTGTAATTAGAAATGCTCATTTTAAAACCAGTCTACACCAAATGGAAGGCGAATTACCGCTTCCACGAAATCTCAATATCCAGGTGTTAGTGTGGACACCTGAATATTTGCAGATAAGCTCGCACATATTACAAAACATGCCCACCTGGTAAAGTTGACATCATTATTTTTATCAATTAAATAGGCAGCTCTTTTTTATATTTACCTGATAACAAATACATTACACATAACAATCGGCATAAATACATTTCCTGACAGATTAAGGTGATTAACAATATAAAGTGGTAATTAAATGAACTACGATCATAGTCATAACTATATATAGTTACTTACGTCAAACATATGTAGGGGATTCGCAAGAGGCAACGACAATTGAGTACTAAATGTATGGCCAACGATAACCCATATCATTGCTATGGATCTAATCCCATCCAAACACGTAAGAGCATTAGGGTTAGGGCGGAATGTAAAAAACTTTCTAGAGTTCGTATATACGGAAAATGAAGTGTACAACTTGCTAGCCTCTTTCGGATCTGTAAAAAGAAAATACAATTAGACATCTCTGGTCGTTGCGGTGACTGGTCGTGGTCGTGGCCTTAGACTAGACTTTCAGTGCTATTTTGTGAGAACAAACTCTCCTTTCACCTCAATACGCGGTGTGATTTTTAAATAATACACAAATTTCACAAATGATAGTTTACAGAATAGCACTGCTGAACAAAATGAATAGACCAGATTAATTGCATAACTTTTTTACTGATTTTAAACCAAAATAAATTAACTAAGAAATCATAGGTAAAATAAAGTAAAATAAAATAAATACTGTTCAGCACAGGACAGCACACAGAGACTTTATTCGTGTAGGTATTAGATTTATTTCTCTGTGAGCACGGTGTGAAAGATTCGTTTAATATTCGTAAGCTGCAAAAGAGGTCGAAAATATTTCGTACTACGTAGTATACTGTTTTGCATAGCTTCAAGTCAATTTATCCCATGCAGGGTTAGTGGAACATCTGATATAATGGTGGCTTGAAATGCCTATGCGTATTTGCTTAAATTTGTGTTTGACGAATAATCGTTATTTATATTTCCTATTTGTCAAATACACTGGACCGCCAAGAAACCGGGTCACCCGCTACTATATCTTCAAACGTATCTCTGAAGTCATTTTTCAACTTGACGACTCTGTATATAACAATACAGGCAGAAAAAACAGCCATTGCTGAGTTTCTTGCCGGTTCTTCTCAGTACAAGGTCTCCCGCCGTAGTTTTCTGAACCCATGGCGTAGCTTCTTGACCTTCACAAGTGCTTGTAACAGCTTAGACTGAATAAATGACTTTTCATTTCATTTCATTTTTCATTTTAATTCATTTCAATAGGATCTCTGATTCGATATTCTCAAAAAGTAAAAAACATACAAGTATCACAGAGAATGCGTTTCATAAATGATTAAAATAAGTAAAATTTTATTGTTTAGGACTATCAATTTACTGTGTAATCAAGCAGCAAACACACTGCTAACGAACTGCAACTTTAAAAAAAGTTGTGACTAATGTTTTCTTTTTTATAAAATGAAGAAGAGTCTGATAGTTCTGATCTTTTAATTAATTCTGTCCATAATTTTCTTAGCCGTGTGTTTTCTTGCTACGTTTTTGACTACCGGTTTACCCAATTGGAAAACGAACTCAACTAAAAAAAAACTAAATTAAGTCATGTTATTTTAATCATCATGAAACGCACTTTCTGTAGGTATACCTGTGATAGAAGTAAGTTGTATACTTTTTGAGAAAAGCAAATCAGAGTTCCGAGGCAGCAAGTGACCCTATACCTTATTATCTTCAAGATTATTTAAGAATAGCTATAATTAATTATAGCTAAAGCTATTTTTATCGATTTTTTAACTGCTACATTTAATTTTCTCATTTTGTTTTACAAAATAACAGTACAATTTATTACCTCTTTCAAGAAGAACGCTGTGTCTGAGATCGTAGCTGGTGCTCAAAAGTGTTAAAAGACCAATAACAGAAAATATTACTCTGAAAAAAAAAAACATTTCGGTGATGATCACTAACACATTATCAACTAGCTAATTATTTATTTGAAACAGGAACTACAGGAACCTAAAAGATTTAGAGATAAGATGTATTCTATGTCTCAATCTATGATAATAAACTATATGCTTATGTGTGCCAAAGAAGATTGCTCAGCTTCCATACATGTTTGGCCTAAAGACCAACAATCATGAAAAATTGTTTCCTAGATTCGAAATTATATATAAATTACTGTAGAAACAAATATTATTGACGGACACCCCTGAGAACTTCTATAAACCATATACACTGAACGATTTTGAGGTTGTGTTTGCAAATAGGTACATAGGTATTAAAGTAATAAAAAACAAATAAGTTATATAGTAAACTAGGGAAATCAAGCCAAGTACCGAATTTATGTATTAGATGCAGGTATATAGGGCATGTAGATTAACAGATAGTTGCCTGTTTTTAAAGTTAATGCACAAGAGTAACTTTTAAAATCAGGTATCATCTATGCATTTCTGGTTATAATAAGGTACTCTGTGACAGAAACTGTGTGATGATTATGAATGAGCCACAGATTAGAGAGAATTTTTAAACTCTCGTTAACCAAGGAAAGCTAAGAGATTTAGGTTATACAGCCATATCTTCAGTAGCTTCATTATTTTTGTTATGTTTACATTATAACCATATTTTAGATTTTTAGTGTATCTCACGTATGTTTATGGAGGTGTTTGGCGAAAAATTTATGGCAATAGACTTTATGATGTCGCCTACTATCTATAATAATTGTCTTAGCACATTTGTATGCAAAATGATAATATAGTTGTGGATATTAATACCATAGTGTAATGAAAAAATGTTTTAATTTATCGATCTTTACAAAATTGATTTGATTTTATGTTATATAAATAACTTCGATCAGTCTTTGGCTGAATGTTACTACACCCATAGCCATTAAAAATGATTCGTATGTTTCCCAAACCGGTAAAATTAAAGGTCCATTTTAAAATTAATATATTATACAAAGGTGTCCGTTAAAATCTAATGACTGTAAAATAAAGTATAAATTATACCAAGAATTAGCGTACATGTCAATATTTTTTGTGCAATTGAACAATCTCCTTTCATCCACATCTATACAGCCGGTTGCGCGATTAAATAATAATCATAAACATATATATTCACATTTTACATTTATAATACTAGTGGGTGCCCGCGACTTTGTCTGCGTGGAAAATTCGTTTCCCATACAAATTTAAACCCTCATTTTTACCTACTTACAAGGCGATTTCTATGATAAAAGCTATCTTATGCTCTTCCCCAAGAATCAGGCTATCTCTATAGCAAATTATATTTAAATGGGTTCAGCGATTTAGCCGTGAAGAGGTAACATACAGACAGACACACTTTCGCGTTTATAATTTTGGTATGGATTAAGAGGTATGGATTAGGAGATTATTGAGTATAATTTTAACATGTACTAACATAGCAACAGTGTCAGCTGCAACCCAAGGTTTATCGTTCTTCAGTCGGCAGTAATTTTCGTTAATTGATATATTTCCAAAAAAACTCGGCGTTATTATTTGAAGAGCAGTTTTGGGAGAACAAACTTTTGGTAGGCAAACCGCCAACTGAAATCGGATATTAGCTAAAGGATTACCTTCTGCAACTCTGTAATCAGAAGAGAGTTAAAATATTTTTAATGTCGCTCTCATATCAACTTCTACTCTTTGAATATTTGAATAATGGTAACCATACACACTACGAGAAATCGTTACGATTAGACTGTACCGATAAATCGTAGCGTGTATGTTATAAAACTGCACAGTTTCCTATACGTACACGTACACGTACGATAAACTGTTCCGTTCGAACTGTACAGTCTGATCGTAACGATTTCTCGTAGTGTGTATGGCTACCATAAGACAATGATTGCTTATTAAAACATTTACTAACAAGTCATGGAAATAACTTTGTCCAGCATAACATATTTTCCTGATGTTAATAAATGTAACATACATCCACAATATTATAAATCTATCATGGTTATAATTTCATTAATATCATCGTACAAAATATTTTTTAATAAAAAATAAAACCGTCTAAAAAACTAAAAATGGAAAAAATAAGATTTGCCGACTGATATTGTTTGAACTGGATACTAAATAATATTATCGTGATCTCCCTCCCTGCTTAACACATGGCTTGGTATCGACTTCAAATATATCAGTCAGTAAACTTTTCTATTAAGCCGTTTCTATTATTTAATAAAAAAAACTTTCCATTTTTATTCTAATACGAAATACGCTACTACCTCAATTCCCTGGAACCACTCTAAGACTATCTGCTGAGACCACATACCTGTGTGTCTATTTAGAGAAACAACTGAGCTGGGCAAAACACACCGATTACATCATCACAAAAGCCACTATAATCTTATGACAATGACTTCTCGGCCGAAATTGGGGCATAAGCCCCAAAATTACCCTTGCTATATACCACGGCCATCCGACCAATCATCACATGCGGGTTCTTAGTTTAGGAGAGGAGTTTTTGAGAACCTAAGCACAGCCCAGAAGGACTTAGAAAAACTCCAGAGATTTTCCTGCGTAGCAATTACCGGCTGCATGAGTACAACACCCCTTACAGACTTACAGGTGATGCAGGGGTTACCAACGTTACATCTATATGTAAGAGAGGAGGCGACCCTAGTGACTTTCAGGCTCGAAATATCCGGCACCCTGAATAGGGATTTCGTAATCAAACATATTCGCATAAAACCAGAGCACGTCGAAACTAAAGCCTTAGAACGCGTAACGGTATTAAATCGAAATACAGTGGCGCTACAATGGATCAAGAGACACAGTGGGTCACTTGGTAACGGCGTGGCAGTTGAACTCACGAGAAGAGGTTTGAACTCAAAGGCTATCGGACCCGAACCCATTTTACCCATACCCTTCAACCAGCTAAGAAGTGGTGGACTCGGGCTGTTCCTTTCCAGGCACGAAAGGTGCTGGTCGTAGGCACGACCTGGTGTCATAAATTGCTTACGACCTGGTATCACCAATCTAAGGATGCTATGCCATCCCCAGATATAAATTTGACCAGGCGTCTTCCGTGCCTGGAAAGGAACAGCCTGAGTCTGGTGGCGGGGATCATCACCAGACACTGCCCACTGAATAAACAATTTCACACCCTGGGTATCACTGACAGTCCCATGGCTCATGTACTCCGCGAATGTACTGGTGTCGCCCAGATTTGCGAGGAGACTCTTGGTAAACCGGTATCCCTTGCGGATGCCCTGGGAAGACTGGGAAGACTGATCTGCTTCTGGAGGGAGGTGGGCTGACTGGAATAACCAGCCGCAATGGCTAACGTACAATGGTCCACTTAAGGGACTAAGTGTGGAAACCAAAATCCTTAATATAGAACAACATAGAACGCTCCTAGTTGGAAATTGTACCAGGTACATAGGTAGATAGGAAGATAGATATAATACATACGCATTTATCTACAGAAAACCCATCGAAATCGGATCACTAGTTTTTGTGATAATCGTGGCCAACTAAACATATTAAACTGAAAAATCTTTTTTGTAGTCTGTTAATAGTCATTTCGTTTTGTTTTATTGGTTATTTACAATATTCAGAACTAATTTCAAAAATTAACGTTATTATGTTCGGGTGACTAAAATAAACGTACCTAGACAACGATAGTTCTGGATCATCCCCAAGAAGTAATTTTAAATTATCTCTTCCGCGTATGAATAAATTATAGTTTTTCAATTTCTCCTCATCTAATATTTTTTGTGTTAAAGGTTCCGATGGCCACGTTGGCGGCCAAGTTATGTTTGGCCAGGGTATTTCAGGTATTTCTGGTAAAGTAGGCAGAGTTGGCCATTTTAGTTCGTCTTGTTTTAAAGGGAATTCTATCGCACAATATTTGCCTTCAATAGACATATCACGCACTTCTTTATTAATTCCTAGGCATTGAAAGTAATTGCCCATGTCTACGAAATTACCCTCTAGCATTCCTCGTGGAGTCCTCACACCTGCATCTAAAACTGTAAAGAAAAAAAGTTTGAGTCACTCTAGCAATTAATTTAATACCAGGTCCAGGAGTAGGTAATTACAGAAGTTCATTAAAATAAAGAGAGAGAAAAAAAAACGGTCAAGTGCGTTTCGTGCCACGCGCAGTGTAGAGTTCCGTAGTTGCCTGTAGTTATCACAATATATTTGAGCAGGAGTCTTTATTTTCTATATCGGAAATTAGAAAAACCAATTAATATCAATCTATATATCTCACCTAAAATACATAAATGAAAATAAAACTGCGTCACAAACTCAAAATCAAATATATATATTTTTTTAAATCGAAATGATAACCGGCGATTTTTTTCGTTTCCTTCCAGGCGGGGGAGTAGGCGTGAAATCCTCATGGATACCCTACAACCGGCTGCAAAGTTATGCCAGACTCTTACTGACTTATAGCTTTATCTGAAACGATCATCCCCTGAGAAGGGGATAATGCGGTATAACCGCCTATCTTTCCAGTGCTTATATACTTTTTATTAAAACGTAACGTGAGCGCGACTCGGAATCCGTTGCCGTTGTTGCTCGCGGTAGCGTTGTGGAACTAATGATAGTTTAATGTGGTTTCTAAATAGTTATATTTTAGATTTTGTTGCAATGCACTGTTTTACGCTACAATAAGTTCATCTATTTCACTATTAATGTTTCCTTCTAAGGAATTTTCAATGAATAAGGAAATAAGTAATTTTAAAGGACCTTTTCAACGATATCCCTCACGTTGGGGTAGATAACGCTACCCTAAAAAAATTTTTTTTCAAAATTTTATTCTACCGTTTGGCTGGCTTGACGATATTCATATCTCCACAAAATTACAGCTCTCTAGTACTAATAGTCTCCAAGCAAAGCTGGGGACGGACGGACAGACATGACGAAAGTATAAGGGTCCCTTGTCAGGACTACGGAACCTTAAAAAAGGGCTAGAAGTAGAAACCGCCTGCGTTGATCACACCTACCTAGGTAGGTAGGTAATTAATTTATGTAAGAGCATAATTATATTGAACATCGAACTAAAAAATGATGTATCTGAGCAATTGTTTTTATTACCTGCGCTACGCCAAATAATATAAGCATTTAATGATATCAATATAGATTAATATTGGAAACTAATTAAGTTCCAGTAATTTCTTGATTTATATCTTTCACTCAAATATGAAGGAAATTTTAATTCCCAAGTCATAGCTGAATTACGAAATACGAGTAACATTATTTAATATTTTTTATGTTATTCTCATTTAAATTAATATTGGAAACATATGCGAGATTACTACTAGAAGACTTATTATTTATAATTTTGTTTTATTGATCACATGCTATTATTAAACGGATCTGTATACTTATAATTTTTTGGATGGGCAGAAAGGTATTAATGCTCCAAGTATGTATTTTGCTAGTACATTATAAAAAATAAGATAAAATATATTAAATAAATAATGTGTACTTACATTGACTCAAGAGCGTTGTATCATTGGTAAGTATGTATTCAATTTGCCTTGCACATTCTGCTGGATCAAGAACTTCTTCATAAAGGTTCACATCGAATGCGTTATTGTTCACCAGGGGGTCCAGGACGAGAGAAGCATCCATAGTTTTAATAAATACTATATTTAACAGAATTAATTTTAGGTACAACATATTGTTCGAACGATGCACAAACTATTATTTGATGATGCAAAAATTATAGTGACCCCCCCAAACCGAGAGCTATACCACTTAGAGCTAGAATAGCAATAAGCTATAAATATCGGCGTGTGGTTATTTAAAATTAATTAAAATATCTAATCAATATATCAACGCAATATTATAATCCTTGTTTTAATCAAAACAAATAATGATAATGATTCACTTTGTTATAGGTATAGTAATTATATGATTTATCTATAATTCCTTCCTTCCATTCACTACCATATGAAATCTTGTATTTAGAACATAAAGAAACAACATTTAGGGCCCTGAATGGCAAATGATATCGTTCGGTTTGGCCATATATTTTTTTTTATCATTATCATCATAGTCAGATTCTATCCACATAGTGGTCTCTACATGTTTCGTCCACAAAGAATTACCGTTAACACTTTAAGACTCACTAATCCATCTAACGAACCAAGTACTGCGTATTTTATTATAAAACTTAAAGTTTAAAGTTTACAACGTTGCCGCTCTTAATATTTTTCAACAATAGTGTAACATGGCAGATGATGATTACAACTTAAAGTGCTTCGTGTAAGTGGTAGGGAACGAAAAAGTGTGTACTGGACCCAGTAGCGACTAACGCACCGTGGCCGCGACCTTGGTCGCAAAATCTAGGTTTAGGCTGCGACCAATTTTGCGGCCACGACCACGACTGGTCGTAAAGCAGCCATTTTACTGATCGTTTTTTTAATTTATTTATAATTTAACTCTGTATCAAAACTCAATGCAGAAAAAAACTGTCGTCGTATTGAGTTGCGTTCAGAAAGAAATCTAAGAGAAACAACTTTTTTGGCCTTGCAACTGCGTGTAACCACTTTAAAAAAAAACGGCCCAGTGCGAGTCGGACTCACGCACCGAGGGTTCCGTACAAACTCTATTTAATACATCTAAGCATTTATGAAAAAATAGGTAATAACTTTAAAATTTTTAAACATATTTTTTATTATGTGATGTAACTAAAAATTTACGGTTTTCACAATTTTTCCTTTATCTGTACTATAAGATATTACTTCGTACCAAATTTCAATATTCTAAGTTCACGAGAAGTACCCTGTAGGTTTTGATTCACGTGCGAATTTCGAAAATTTGCAGTGTGGCATAAACGGCTGCATCATTTGATTGCTTTAGCTTAGAAGTTTGATTTTTTCACTGCTTCAAGGGACAGTAGACATGAGTATTAGATATGAATTTTAGTTTGATACCTCCACGCATTCCTGAGAAAATCGGTGTTGAGAGACGGACAGCCCGACAACAAAGTAATCCTATAAGGATTCCGTTTTTTCCTTTTGAGGTACGGAACCCTAAAAATGGTGAGCTTGTTGTTGAAACCTTTACTTTCTCATGCTATCACACTAATATTATAAAGGCAAAAGTTTGTGAGTATGTATGTTTCTTACTTCTTCACGTCTAAACGGCTGGAGCGATTTTAATGGAATGGAATTGGCTGACATTATGGATTAACACATAGGCTACGTTTTACTGCGGAAAAATATTCTTTATAAGCTGCGAGTAACACCGCGGGGCATAGCTGGTACAAAATGTAAACATAAATTCAAAGAGAATGCAAACAATTTAAAAAGTTGATTTCGTAAAAAGTTATTTAATCATCGTTTACAGTCTTGGTCTATGTACTAGAATTTACTCTCCATTACATGAAAAACATAAAATACCATACCATAATATAATTACATAATCTAAGAAAATAAAAATCCATGAAACAGCGTTTGCTTCAAATACATTATTCGTACCATACCTGCCCCGTACATTACAGCACGTTTTTATCGCGTCTAACTATTAAACCTCCATAGTAATTTGACAACTAAGTGTGATTAAAACCTCATGCTAGGGGGTCATGATATTAATCCTTATCCAAATAAATCACTTTTTATTCAAGACTTTATCAGTACCTGTAAATTAATTTTTGAATATTATACGTGTGTTATAATTATGAGTGATAAATGTCTACAAAACACTGTGTCGCTATTAGATACGTTTAATAATAAGAACATAGACCAATGGTAGGGGACGACCTTTTTTTAATAGCAAAGCTATGATGCATTCGATACTGATGACCTGAACTGGGCCAAAAATTTTTCACAGAAGTGTTACCGGGAATTGCAGAAGAAATACCGAGAATTTTGAGTTACCTGAGCAAGGAGAATGGGCAAAAATATATGAACGTTGGTCTAATTACTCAACAATAACGCCATCTATGCTAAATAAAAGAGAATGTGTTAGCGAACCAATAACAAATGGTGTAAAAATGCTAGGAGCTGGGAATATTTTGAAAAAAGAGATAACAAAAGATAAAAATAAAACACCAGTGATTAATACATAATATTATATTGGCAGTATTATATCATGCTAGTGTCTAAAAAAACTTTATCAAGGTGCGCAGCTGGCGGTATGAGACTTTCCTGATGGCGTGCCCAGCATAAGTAAACTCAAACTCATTTATTCAGTCTAGGCTGTTACAAGCTCTTGTGAAAGTCAAACGCTACGCTATCGGTTCGTAAATCTACGGCTGGAGACCTTGTACTGAGAAGAACCGGCAAGAAACTCAGCAAAGGCTATTTTTTTCTCCCTGTTTTGTTTCAAACAGTGTCGTCAATTGAAAGATGACATCAAAAATTTAAAACATGTATTGATGTCAACTTCCATCACATTAATATTTTTAATTAACAAAAGTTAAGTATAGCTAGGTACTACTTTAAAATTTAGAAGTGGTGATTAAACAATTTTCAACCAAATCAGCAAAGTAAAACGACTTAGTCTGTTATATTAAGCCCAAGGTGACTTATCATTTATGAAATCTTTAACAGTATAGTAACCTTTCTTAAGGAGACATGTTTTTATAGACACTTTAAACTTATTGAAAGGTAAATTAATTATTTCTTTTGGTATTTTATTATAGTAACATATGCCTTGACCCAAAAATGAACCAAGAACCTTTTGGAGTGGAGTACCACAAGATATTACATGTGCACACAAACACGTGCTATAATAGTGCCTGAAAGCGTCTCTTCCTTCAATCCCTCTGTTTATTAGCACGCATATGCAGTATTGCTTGGCTCTTGAATGACGTGATTGTATTCGTGCTCTCAGTAAGAAACTTCTTTCTTCCACTTCAATGTGACATCATCGATTGCATTGTCTTGGTATAATTCAATTATATATATTCCATCATTGAAATGTTCGGCACAGTAAGAACTTGCTATCATAATTTGATAAGTTCCTAGGGCGATTAGAATCAGATGTACTTCTTCGAATTGCGGGATGTCTTTAAAATCAGGAAGATTTGCTGCTTTCCATTCTTGTAAACACGGCACGTGGCCTATTTAAGGTTTTTTGCAAACAAGTTTTGTACCTGCGCTTGCGTCGGAAATTCATGCCAACCCCACTCCCTACCCTCTCCCCCGCCAAACCCAGTCGAACTATAGACCATTAGTTGTAAAGTCTGTTCCCATCAAAAGAGGAGAAACCCCATGAGCTACACATTTGCAGTCATACAATAAAATAAAGTATAAGAAATGTCCTTTTCCTTGATACATGGCTCGTTGGTGTTGAGTAGGTAGACCAATTTGCCCATTCTCCTTTTAATTGCTAATTCAGATATGGATTAAGTTTATATTTCCACAAAAAAAATGCAATTGAATTTTCGAAAAATGTGTCCATCTTAACTCTTTATTTGTTTAATTTGAAACATTAACAATTTGAATTGTTATAAATTGATTCAAATAAATATGCTTTTAGAATCTACGTACTTTAAACTGACAATAATTCCAAAATAGGTATATTATTTACATATTTGCACCGTTTAAGGATATTTTGTTCACTGGATATTTTGTTTATTGTTTATAACTGTTCGCACTATTTTTTCCCCCTGATTTCGAAGTTTCTCAGGTAATTCAATATTCACGGTGTATAATATGTTTAAAACAAGCCTGAGAACAAAAACTAAAGACTAAAGTCTGCACCAAAGCGACGCAAGGGCGGTCCGCTAGTAAAATATAAATACATACATAGGCATATAAGCCTTTCCAGTAACTTATTTGTTTGCGTCACAAACGTAATTAATCACAATTTAGTTTTCAATCTTTAATCCTAATCAGATTTATCGATAAATATTGATAAAACTTCATTGACCATCTGAACTTGCATTAATATTATATATTGTTAAAATACTGGCATGTTTTTATACTGACGTTGTTCGTTTTTGTAATAATTTGCTTGACCCTAGATGGATCTGCCATTATTTATGCAAGGAATGCAAAAACGGCATCTGAGGCTTGGATAGCATTGCAGAATACCGTCGAGGATAAAGGTGTGGGGAGCAGATTATCTCTTGAAAGAAAATTATACCGTCTCAACCTAATTGATTTTGGTGATATTGAAAAATATATCAATGCCGTTTTGTATACTGCGCAAGAATTAGCAGACATCGGCAAAAACATTGATGATGCTTCCGTTGCTGCTATACTATTAGGTGGACTTACATCGCATTATGATCCGCTTATCATGGTACTGCAGAATAGCAATGTAGAAGTTTCCACTAGTTTAGTTAAGGCAAAATTATTAAATGAAATGCATAAAACGGGCGCTTTCAATAATAATTTTACCAGTGAAATAGCTAAGAGCGTGAAGTCGAAGCAGATTATTTGCTATGATTGTAAGGAGCATGGTCATAATCGCCCTGATTGTCCACTACGCAAGAAGAAGTCTGATAAGAAGAAAAATATGGTAGCTTTAGTTCCGGTACTTCTATTAATGCCTTAGGAGTTAAAGATGATTCCAACTTGGGCATATGATATGTAGATTCAGGTGCTACTAAACATATGACGTCAAGATCGGATTGGTTTGATAAACTGAAATCAAATGTTTTCAGTACAGTTACGAATGGCTCAAAGCTTAATGTCAATGGAGTTGGCAATATTTCTTTATCTACTAGTCGTAATATTGTAAATAAATTAGAAAAGGTTTTGCATGTACCTAATCTTAAGTCTAACCTATTATCTGTAAATTCGTAAGTTGATCAGGGTTATTCTGTTCTTTTTATTAAAGGCGGCTGTAACTTTTATAAATCTGATGCCGTCTCTTTTACAGGTGATTCAGTTCTACATGGTTGATGGTTTGTACTATTTGGACTGTACTGTAAATACTTCCATCAATAAGGCATATGATGTGCACTCTGACTATCAAAACAGGTATGAGTTATGGCATAAGCGCTAAGGACATTTGTGTAGAATAGGGATGAATCATTTAAAAAATAGTAATGTAGGTGTAGGTTATTTTAAGGTTGTAAACAAATCACCATGAATCGCGTATATTAAAAGACAGCAAGCGCGCACCTTTTAAAAGTTTACCGCATACAAGGATGGCCAAAAAGTTGGAATTAGTCCATGCTTTGTGGACCAATGCCTGTAACATCTTTACCAGGTTATCAATATATATTACTTTTTATCGATGACTATAGTAGGCGAATATTTTCTTATTTTATAGCTTCCAAATCTGAAGTTAAAAATAAGTTTTGTGTTTTTCAAACTTTTGTCGAAAGACAAACAGGTTCAAAAATAACAAGAATTAGGACCGATAATGGGACCGAGTTTGTCAATAGAGAATGGACAGATTATTTTGTTTCGCTGGGAACTAAACACGAAACAACTGTAACGTACAATCCGCAACAAAATGGCATTGCTGAACGGACCACTAGGTCAATTATCGAAAGAGCTCGATCGATGTTGAGTGACAGTACTCTTTCAAAAGGTTATTGGCAAGATGCAGTTCAATCAGCCGTTTAATAAGAATAGGTCATCTCATCGAGCATTGCCTAAGTATTGTACCCCTTATGAGATGTAGTTTGGGACTAAGCCTGATTTGTCTCACTTGAGAGTCTTTGGTTATAGAGCTTTTATTCAAATTCCTTCTTGTCAAAGAAAGAAACTGTAGTTAAAGGCTGAAGAAGTAATCTTTGTTGACTATACGGAAAATCCACAAAGTTATTTCTATAGAGATCCTAGCAGTCCCAGAAAACTGATAAAAGCTAGGGATGTCACGTTTTTTGAAGAATGCTTTTCTGATTTGAACGCTGTTACTTCAAACAACAGTGATACAAATATCAATATTTCTTTGCCAGTTTTGTTATTTTCAGACACTGTTGAAGGAACTCAACACAATAATGATGTTATGATTAAGCCAGCAAACTCTCTAGAATCAACTCAGGGTACAAGTACGAGTTCTATAATAGTTCAGGAACGTGGGAGTGAGAATGTGGTTTTGGAGCCAATACACATGAGTTCTGACGTTGTCAATAATTCAAGTGAACACGAGTCAGAACGTCGAAATAAAAAAAGAGATAGAAAACCTCCCGATTTCTTGTGGTATGTAGTCTTGTGATGACTCGAATGAGCCTCAAACTTTTTCAGAGGTTATGAAGGCAAATGCTTCCGGCAATTGGAAATAAGCTATGCAAAGTGAATACAGTTCACTTTTGAAATTAAAGACATGGAAGCTTGTTGATCGACCTGATACCAGAGTTATTCGGTGCAAGTGGGTCTATAAGCAAAAAAGAGACGCTGATGGAAGCATCATAAAATACAAAGCTCGACTGTTGTGTTGACTACTATGAAACGTTTGCTCCAGTAGTGCGACACTCATCGTTGCGTACTTTGTTTGCCTTAGCTGCACAAAGAAACCTTAAAATGAGACATATGGATGTAGAAACAGCTTTCTTAAATGGCGACTTAGAAGAGCATGTTTACATGGAACAACCTGAAGGGTATATTGTAAGGGGTCGTGCGCATCAAGTCTGTCTTCTGCAAAAATCGTTATAAGGTTTGAAGCAAGCTCCAAGACCTTGGAATATTAAATTAAATAACATATTATCTCAAATAGGTTTTACAAGAACTCCTTCCGAGTCATATGTTTATACTAAACTATTTGGTAGTGAGTTAGGCTATGTAGCAGTCTTTGTCGATGATGTGATCCTGTTCTATTAAAATGACAAGACATTTGACATTGTCTATCAAAGTTTACAAAATCATTTTGTACTAAAAGATTTAGGATATTTAAAATGTTATTAAGACCTAAATATTATCAGAAATAGTGACAACGATGTGTTTATTCATCAAAAATCGTACATATTAAACCTTTTGAAAAAGTTTGACATGGAAAACTGTAAGACTTGTAGTACACCGATGACTAATACCAAATTAAAAGTAAGTACTACGAAAAATGATAAGTCTTATCCATATCAACAACTTATAGGTAGATTAATGTATATTTCTGTAAATAGTAGGCCTGATATTGCTTTCACTACTAGTTATTTAAGTCAGTTTAATACTTGTTATGATAAGTCTCACTGGTTAGCAGCAAAAAGAGTTTTACAATACCTTAAGGGTACTGTGGACTATTGTTTGCACTTAGAACAGTGATGTCTTACACGGTTGTGCTGACTCGGATTGGGCAAACTTTAAGATAGATAGACGGTCTTACACAGGCTATTGTTTTAAAGTAACAGGAAGTCTAATGTCATGGGTAACTAGGAAACAACACACTGTGGCTCTGTCATCCTCAGAAGCCAAATATATGGCCCTGACCGATGCGGCATAAGAAGCATTATATTTAAAACGTTTCATTAAGGAAGTTACTGGTAAATTAGATAAGTTAGACTATGTAAATATAGCTACTGATAGTCGGAGTGCTCAGAAATTAGCCTTGAACCCAGTACATCATAACAGGACGAAGCGATATCACTTTGTGAGAGAAAAGGTATCAGTAATAAATCCATTTCTCTTTCGTACTTAGAATCCAGCCAAGTGCCGGCTGACGTCTTGACTAAAAGTCTGCAAGCTACGGCACATAGAGATGTTGTATTAGCTTAGGTTTAGTAACATAGTTTCTTTTATTTTTGTTATGTTGTTATTAGTCAATAAGTGTACTTTGATTAAGGGGGCGTGTTATAATACTGGCATGTTTTTATACTGACGTTGTTCCTTTTTGTAAACAAAATTTATTGACTTGACATTCTTACTTACTTCAAATAAAATATCCAAACAGAATAGACATATATTATTTTCAAAATTACAACATAAACGTTATTGAGCATTTATTGCATAATGGGCAATCTAGTGCTTGCGTGCGATTTATTCCAGGCTGGCTTGATTTGGAAGAAATTAAATATATATAAAAAAGTGTGCACATTAATGTAAGGCGTTATGAAAAGAAGCGATGGAAAAATGTCATAAATGCTTACACTGATTTATTTTTATTCTCCGTTTCACTGTGTTTCAATTCGACAAATCAGTCAAATTACCTATCAGTTACCATAGCATAGAAACAATAAACAATGTTCTGTAACCATAGTTCTTTCTAATTATAAAGTTCCTTTCCACAAAAATATTGGGCGATTCAGAAGAGCTTTTAGTAAGTCAATTTGAATAAAGTGTAATTTTATTTCAGCGCTCCCCAACGAGCCTGTTGGAAAGCTGAAAAAGCTTGGACATCTCTGCTAGGTAAAGTCGGAGACAGTTCTATTAAGTGGAGGACTAAATTGTAAATTTACATTCCGTAGCTGTAACTGGAAGTTTTACAGGAGCAAAGAATGATGTCTTATATTATGATGATTAGGAAGGTCATTATTTAAATGTTGACAGGTCTTGATTGATTTTCATTTGTTATAAGTATCTAAAGATTATTTTTAATAAATCAAAATTATTTGTTTCTTAGGTTTTCACGCACATCACTCATTAAATAAAGGTCTTTCGAAGATAACGAGTAGGTAGCGAGCGAGAGCGAAAGTGTTGAATCGAGAAAGTAAATAAAAAATCATTAACGACGACGTATTCCTCAAAAGGAGTCGAAACGTCAATAAATAAATTCAGTGAATTTAAACCGTTAAAACTGTTTTATTTAAATCAAATTTCATTACGCAAATTGCTAAAATTTTAATACGGCATAAATGAATTCGGGGCCGCTGTCCCTCATTTATTTATTCTTGCAACTTTAATGGATTGCTGTATCTTTTTAACAGGTACCCGTTACCGTTTTCCAGTGCCTATTGGGTTTGTTCTAGCAATATCATCAAAGTGCACATTAGTAAAGATCACAAGGGTAGGTTCAGTGGAAACAATAGAAACTACGGCTACCTAACTCTTATTTTGCAATGACCGTTCATTCTTTTCAATTAACAAATTTCAATAAGAAAATCGTAATTAGGATATTTTTGGACCTGGCCAGGACTTTGACACGGTTTCCATACCTATCTTAATGAAAAAACTGGAATATACACAAATAGGTATCAGAGGTGTACAATTGGATTTATTTAAAAGTTATCTTAATAGTCGTACTCAATGAACTTGTAGTTGTAGTTAGTAGTAATTGTAGTTGTCAATGTCAAAGTTGTCAATTTTGACATTGACAACTACTTGAGCGATGAAGTTCCGGTTTGTGGAGTTCCTTAAGGGAGCATATTGGGTCCGACGTTATTCCTAATTTGTAAAACAGCCTAATAAATAAAAAAATGGTAATGTTCAAAAATCTACGTCATATTGCAGACAAAAAATTGTTGATATCTATCTATTATGCTCTTTGCCAGTCACTACTTTGCTATTGTATTACTTCATGGGGTGGTGCCTGGATATCGCAATTATTAAGATTAGAGAGGGCCCAACGAGCTCTGCTCAAACTGAGTTTCTGCCGCCGATTTATATAAACTAACTGGGGTATTAACTGTGCGGTAACTTTTATTTTTTAAACAGCACTCTGAGTTGATATACGAACCCAGTAATGGTGATCTTGTACGTAGAAAAAACAGAATCTGTTCATTGAATATGAAATTCTAACAACATTTTTCTGTTTTCAAGGCGGTAGTTTGTACAATAAAATAAATAAGATTTTGTCTATTTATAATGTCACAAAATGCAAATTAAAGCGAATAGTAAAAAAATAATTACAAAATCTGAATTATCTAACAACGGAGAATCTTTTGAGCAGTTAGTTAACTTTCTCTTAGATTATACAATAAAATTGTAGCAAATATCTTTTATTTTTATGTAAAGTATAAGGAAATTTAAAATATATGATGTTGATATTATATACCGATATTTAATATATTATTAAAATATATTTACAATTTATCGTTTTATTTTATCTACAGACTTATCTAACTAATAAGTGTAAAATTAGGGTCTTAATCCATTATCTATTCGTTGCGGTATGCCTCCGATATCAGTAGTTACACTCCCTTTATTGAGTGCGGTTTCCCCAAATTTTGCACCTAAAATACAATTGAATTGAGTCATTATAGTTTATTTAATTTGATGTACCAAATTGATTTTGCACGTCTCTAAAGTGTAATGTGTTACTGTAAAATTAACATAATAATACTCAAACTCAAACATTTATTCAATTCAAGCTGGTACAAGCACTAATGAATGTTTAGAAGATACGTTATACACGTATACGTTTTACTCTTATCTAGCAATACAAAACAACTTATAAATGTAAAATGGTTTCTTAAGGGACTGTCGGACCAAAATGTCCATATCAGCCCCACAGTAACATGACCATACAATTTTCTTAAAATCACTTAATTTACATATAATTTTTGCTACCATATTGCAAAGCACTCCAGCTTGGGGGTTGGCTAGGTTGCCTATGTAAATTGTTGTAAATTTTAGACAGCAAGTAGTTTTTAAGTTTTTATTATTTAAATATATTTATTGTTTTAGTAAACAAAACAACTATAAATAACATGTTATTTGATCAAAGATGAAGTGAATGATATTAATTTATCGATGGCAAAGATTAAAAAGTTCCACTTACCTTTCAGTAACATTTGGAAAATAATTGAAAACGGTATATCTATAAATACCGTAACGAGAAAAGACACAAGTGTCGTTATCGTCGTGACAACAATTAGCATATGCATCTGAAAAAAAAACACAAGTAAATGTTATAAAAATATCATACTAAGTTAAAGTTTCTCTTTTATGTTTTAAAAACACAAAAAAAAGATAACCCATAATGACCTTAGAAGAAATCATAGGTGATATAAGCTACTTGCATCCATATAATAATAATAATGACATAATGAAGAAATATAGTACTTACTGAAAATTCTATTGAAAAATAAATCGGTGCTAACGCAGTAGCGTTAATGATATAAATTATTGGTAAATGAAATATGTACATCGCATATGACAGTCGACCCAAAAATTTAAATATAGTCAATGAGAGAAACCAGTTAATTGGACCTAAAAGAGGGAAAAATACAAATATACAAACTCCTCTTCGTTATTTGCTGGTGTAAATTATGTTTAAGCTAACATTCAGTTAAAGTATTCTTACCGCCATAGCCGTGAACACATGCAAATATCAGCCACGCAACACAAGCAGCCCAAGCTGGTCTCATGAACGAGTTGCGAAGACTGTCCACATTTTGATTATCCCAATCCGGTTGGATAATGAAGTAAGTAGACACGATGATGGTCAGAGATGTAACTGTAGCGAGCAGCCAATAAAATATGACTAATATCTAAAAAACACGAAGAACACATTAATCTGGCGGACTCGTTTTCCAATAACTTAGAAAAAATTTAAATAAAAGCCCAAATGAACCGTATTAGGTACTAAATTTGCGTTGTTTGCTATATTCTGTACATTCAAATTAGGAAGACATTTATGAAATTTTGACACAGCATGTTTTTCGTTTGCTGCTTTAACTTTAAGAATAAAAAAAATAACTAAATTTATGGCTTAAAGCTTTGGTATACCTGGCTAGTTCTCCAAACGAAAAAAAGTGTCCTCTTGGAGAAACTAGGTTTCAAAATAAATTTGTAATTTAAAATATTGTTTAGTGTAGTTTGGCATGCCGCATACCTTGGACATATACATAATGGTGCAAACTTTATTATAAGTATATTAAAAAAATTCGCAAACAACCAAAAATTTATCACTCTGGTGTGTACTGACACCAGTTTTGTCGAAATAATGTTAAATAACTTTTTTCCTTTACCTAATTTTGACTGAAAAAACGTTTATTGATTTAATAAATACCGTTGTTTTAATAAATTAAATTATTTTCATGTAAATGTTCATTAGTTTTACGTCTTTAGAAATAAAAGAAGTGGCCGACGTTTTTTGTCGATTCCTCTGGAACGACATGAAATCGATTGTCCATCCCTAGTTTATGAGCAGCTCCGTTCTCCCCCTCCACCAGCTGTTTTCTGAGTCGCGTTTCAACAGCCTATGGGGGACGGTATGCGCTGCGGTCCTTTTTTTTCGTTTTCGGTACAAAGATAAACAGTTGATCACTCTGGTTTTGGTTTCCAAAATTATTGATTGCTATGGTACGTTTTTATAAATTTTAACTATGCTGGCATTGGTTGATTGATTGATCGAAGTGTTTTTATTGAGAATTTTAAAATAATGTAAATCTATCCTAGTGCTATAACTTTTAACAGAATTAATGAAAATGTTAATTTTTTTACTGCTATGGCATTGATCGCTCTGTACTGAGTGGCTGTAGCGATCAGTAATTTTGGAAAGGGGTCTGAGCGGTCTCCTTTTTTGGGTACCGGTTGCATGTTAGCATCCCTCCAAGTTTCTAGCACACGGCCCAAAATGTATGAGAGTTGGTACAAGCGCGTAAACACTGGAGACAACTCCACTGCACATTTTTAAGCACTACTGCTGGTATGACATCGATAACGCGATAGAGCTACAGCCCAAACGGTAACAAGCAGTTACCGTTAACGTGTGCCCTTTTTGATACGATCAGAATGAGAGATAGCAGGCAATGATCCGACGAGGTCCGTGGTGCTCTAAACACAACCAGATAGCCCTGTGGATGCCAAGCCCAATAAAGAGGGTGCTTGACTTGGGATATCCTTTTTATTTATTTTTATAGATAGGTCCGACAAATGATTCCTCCCCATCTGATATTAAGTGCCGGTGAAGTCCAGACGCGAAGATAGCTGATACAGCAGTTCTACTGCGACACCGGCCATCCTCACCCAGCCGGCCTGTATGTTGCTTCTTCACGCCTCTTTTAAAGGAGGTTGTAAGAGAGAAGGAACACGTGAGCAGGCAGAGCATTCCATTTACGGATAGTGCGACAAAGAAATAACCAAATTTCTTTGTACGCGTTGGAATTGTGACCACAGTTAGATGGTGACAACGTATGCCAGCGCGCATGGTCCTCTGATGGAAAGGGGAATGGGAATAAGAGAGAATAGCTCCTCAGAACACTGTAGAACCGTGGTACTGACGATAGAACGCGCTTAGTGACGCTATGTCACGGTGTAATTGAAAAGGCTCGAGGTGTTTAGTCACCTCCTCATCGCCTATGATGCGGATCGCGCGCCGCTGTAACCTTTCCAAAGCATCGAGCAAGTACTTGGCGGAGCCATTCCAGAGGTGCGAGCAATATTCCACGGAAGACCGCACCTGCATTTTATACAACAAGCACAGTTGCTCGAGCGTGAAAAAAAGCCGCACCTTGTTCAGGACTCCGAGTTTGCGTGAGGCCATTTTTATCACACTTTCGATGTAATTCCTTGGATTTAAGTCACCGCGAATGTCCATACCGAGCATGGTGATACTGCTCTCTAGCTCTTTCTCATAAACGGAATGACGACGTTTTTGCCGTGAAAGCGCAGAGCTGGGGTTTCTTAGCATTGAACTCAACCAAATTCCTGGTACACCAATCAGAAATGTGGTCCAAAGCTTGATTGAGTTCAATGATAAGATTCTCCCGTTTCTCCTTCGTTACCGCCTGCCTAGCCGCTGTTTGTCCGAGATACCTCGCATGCACTGTACTATCGTCTGCACAGCAATGAATATTCCTAAGAGGAATTAAGTCATTAATATGCAGCAGAAAGAGAGTGGGGGATAGGACGGAGCCCTGAGGAACGCCGGAATTCACTGACATGAAACGCGAACTGCTACGAATTCTACGCTCATGCAGGAAGTCAGCCACCCAAGAACAGAACTGGGTCGGCAGACCATATGCCGGAAGCTTGGAGAGAATGCTTTTGTGCCAAACCCTGTCGAACGCCTTGGCAATGTCAAGGCTGATCGCCAATGACTCTCCCCGCTTGTCGATAGCCTCATCCCCCAGATATAAGTCAAGAACGCTAGAAGATCACCCGTCGATCGTATCGGTCTAAAACCATATTGACGATCATTAATCAGGGATTGATCCTCTAGGTAGCGATTCAGCTGGTTGTTAAGGACCTTTTCTAGGCATTTACATAATACTGAGGTGACTGCTTTTGGCCGGTAGTTTGCCGGGTCTCAGCGATCCCCCTTTTTGCGCACCGGTTGCACGTTGGCATTGCTACAAGTCTCCGGCACACGCCCTAAAGAATACGAGTATTGGTAAAAGCGCGTGAGCACGGGAGACAACTCCGCTGAACTTTTTTTCAGTACTACTGCTGGGATGCCATCAGGTCCACTAACTTTCCGGATGTCGAGTGATGGCAATTCGGCACAGACCTCACGCTGCCTGATTTTAATATCATGCATCGTTGTGCCACAATGAGGTAATGATTGTGGCAGTGCTTTGCAATCATCCATTCGGGAGTTAGCCGCAAAGAGTTTTGCCAGTAAATCGGCTTTTTCCTTTAGCTTATGAGGTCAGTTTTGGAGGAACTTAACCACAATCGGTGGTGAGCCGGCGGGTCGACGCAAGCCTCTCGGTGTCGGTTCGAAGGATGCCTCCCCTGGACCGAGTCTGTCGCGGTAACGCCCACTCGAGCTCTGGTTGTACGCCGGCTAACGACAGTGAATAGTATCCTTTATCCGTAACGACACGAATATAATATGTTTTAAGTAATATATATATATATATTTCATTTACAGGTATATTTGAATAAAAATATTATTTTAATTAATTGTTTTTCTATAATTTACAGTATTATTTGATTGCTTTGGCATCATTTATTGATAGCTCTGGTCACAATAATTTCAAAGATATATATCTCATAGATCGTTTGCAGAAAACGAGGGACAATAAGAAAAAATAGATTCTCATACGATTTCTTATTTGCCAAAATAGCTAAAACCTTAAATTATTAATAAATATAAAACCACCAGAACGATTAACAGAAATTTTGGAGAAGTAGCCACCTGCATTTATACATTTGTGATCACCCCTTTACACAGTCGTTGTAATTCAAATGTACGAGAACTACGAACCAAAATCGCACTCGTGATTATTTTTGACCCTTGGTCACAAGAACGTAGTTAGGTAAAAATATTATAAATTGTGCATTTGATGAACTAACTCTTGATAATCGAATTTTTCGTCCCCGACACAGGTGCAATAAATATCCAAAAATCATCCCAACAAAAAATGGAGAAGCTCTAGGAAAGGTATGGATATAGTAATATTGAGTATAAAATTCCCTATCTTCTGGTGATCGACTGAAAGAAAGAAATAATATTTATGAACAATTAATGGAATATAACTTCATAAAATTAGGTAGAATATCAATTAAATAAAACACTCACGACAGAGCATACGTCGAAGTTTGGAACTCCATTAGAAAGTTGTATATGGTAGAACTTGCAAGTACTGCTAAGAGTGAACATATTAAGGCCCCCAAAGCTGATTTCTTAGTGCCACCCAATACCCAAACTAAGATAATGGGCGATAAGACATACAACTGCATATCCACTGCAAGGTACCACGTATGACCAAGGCACTTTAAGAAAATAAACGTGTATTTTAGTAAAAAAAAGTTATTATATAAAGCAAGTCATATAAGCAAGACCAACAGATACTATTAGTTCTTTTTGTTTTCATAATTTAACATAAGAAGGAGATAGAAAGCCTCTCTTGAGTTTGTTTCGCCGGTTCTTCTCAGAAAGGTCTCCCAATTTTGGAACCGGTGGTAGTTTACGGTAGTTAGGGTCAAATAAATAAACTCAAAATTACAAAAAAGAATTTTAAATAAAATACTTTATTAAGTAAATTAAAGAATAAATTCATACATAGACAATAAAACTTTAAAAATCGAACAATGAAATAACCGAACGCTCAATAAAAGTCTTTCGAAGGTAGCTCGACAAATTAAATAAAAGTTTGATTCTGACGACGTAGCCTGTAAAGGCTACGAAACGTCAATAAATAAATAAAGTTTCGTGCATGAACCCGTAAAACCAGTTTTATTTAATGAGTGATGTGCGTGAAAACCTAAGAAACAAATAAGGCATTATAGGTCTAAAACTCGAGGAGCTCGATGGCGCAGGTGGCTAGCGCGTTCGGCTGCGATCGTTGAAGTTAAGCAACTTTCGCAGTGGTCGGTCATTGGATGGGTGACCAAAAATTTACTATCTCGAGCTCCTCCGTGCTTCGGAAGGCACGTTAAGCCGTTGGTCCCGGCTACATTTTGCAGTCGTTAGCACCCACCAATCCGCACTGGGCCCGCGTGGTGGGTCATGGCCCAATCTCCCTATTCCATCCATAGGGAAGGCCTGTGCCCCAGCAGTGGGGACATTAATAGGCTGATGATGATGATGATGATGAGGTCTAAAACTTTAACTCTCTATATACAGGGCGTCCCACGGCAACCTCACACGGAGGGAAAGTATATTAAATATTGAAGATAGGATATTATACTGAAAGAAGACATCATTTTATTTTTAATAATAACTAGAACTGCATTCACAGCTTTTTTTAAAATCGCCTCATACAACTGGGAACCAAACTCGTGAAATTTCAAAAAAAAATACGACATATTTTATGATAGCTATACAAATTGTAGTACGTATGCATTTCTTTTTGAATTCAGTTACAATGCGATTGGCTGAAATTTGTAATAATAATTCGAAAATGGAACACATAAATTTTCAAGCATGTGTTCTTTTGTTTTTCGTGAGTTTCATTTTCGTTTATTTCTTTTTTTTTGTTAATTTACTTACCATGGCGCATCAAAATAAAATAGATTTAATGTAAGCTTACTTTATGAACCACAAAGACATATCACTAGCTTAGCGGTGGTACCGCAAAAGATATCCTGATAGAGACAAACCTTCTCGATATTTGTTTAAATAATGGAAGAAAGATAGAGATAGAGAAAGATTTTTGTTAAGCCATGGTAAGTAAATTAACAAAAAAAAAATGCAAATAAATGAAAATGAAACTCACAAAAAACAAAAGAACAGACACTTGAAAATTTATGTGTTCCATTTTCGAATTATTATTATTACAAATTTCTGCCAGTCGCATTGTAACTGTGAGTTCAAAAAGAAATGCATAGTACTACAGTTTGTAAACCACTTTATGATTTTTATCACGTAATTCACATTCCTTTCATTTAAAATGCTATGTTATTTAGCAAAAAATAATCCTTATAATTAACCCTTTCGATGGTTATCATAAAATATGCCGAGTTATTTTTTTCGAAATTTCACGAGTTTGATTGCCAGTCGAGGCAGGCGATTTTAAAAAAATCTGTGAATGCAGTTCTAGTTATTATTAAAAATTAAATGATTCTTCTTTCAGTAAAATGTCCTATCTTCAATATTTAATATACTTTCCCTCCGTGTGAGGTAGCCATGGGACGCCCTGTATAATGTGGCTGGGATTCCTGTTTGCAATGATGAGAATATTTGGTTTTGTTATAAATGTACCATTACTTGTAGTTCTTGTGATATCAATCTGAATATTTGACTGCAATGCTTCATTTCCTTGACGTTAGAAAAATCATTCCGATGTCTTTGACAGATCGTTAACTATCATACAACAACGATTTAAATAAACTTACCAAATACCCGTAACTGACTAAATTATGAACATAGAGCAGAGTAGTCCACCAATATTGGCGACAATCATCAGTACTCTTTGCAACTACTCCCCAGTTTGGGCCGTCTGTTATGTGGTTTTGAAAAGATGCTTGGAGTAATATTCCAGTCGCTAGCACTGGAAACATGCGCAGTAGACGACTCAGGTAGAACACGTGCAGATTCTTCAAGAACGCTGCTGAAATCATCAATATTCTCTATTTGGTCTGTCTTTAAATTACAGCCCTGGAGAAAAAACAAGCTCCACTAATAACATTACCCTTTTTTATCTTTATATATATAATTCTTCTGTGAGTGTGTATGTCACTGAACTTCTCTTAAACGACTGGACCGATTTTGATGAAATTTATTGTGTGTGTTCAAGGGGATCGTTAGATATTGTCATAACATTTGAATAATAATTTTCATCAAAATGGTCCAGAATGTTTTAGCTTATTAAAAAAAGTTTGAAATTTTCAAATTAAAGACGTGTAGACAGGACAACGTCTGTCGGGTCCGCTAGTTATTATATAAATAGGTACCTATTTCATAATAAGAAAACTGATAGTGAAGTGTGAGATGATTTAGTTGTGAACGAAATAGAGGAAAAGCCGGATAGTTGCCCCACTTTTCAATAAAGCTTTATTGTTCAAAAATAAGGGCCTACAAGGAGTAATGCATCATATATATCAATATAAAGGTCCATTATCTATCAAAGTAGCCTATTTTTGTAAACGTAATGAATATCGGTTTTGAGTAAACCCGGTTTAAATAGATCTCTCAAAAAGGGATATTAAAAAGGGTACTATCCGATTATTATATATAATTATTATTAACATATAGATATATTTAAAACAATTTTTATTCGCAATGAGTTGATAAAACAGTAAAATCAGTAGTTCAATGATAAATAATTTATAGTTACCCATAGAGCCACTGTCGTCAAAAGTAAATAGTGCAACAATCTTTTTGGATACGGATACTTGCCCTTCATTTTTATAAAATAAATAAAAACTATTAAACTATAACACATTAGTCACAGTGTAAATTAAAATGCATTGGGCATGCAAAAAAGCTAAAAGATTACTGAATCCCCAACCAATTCAAAAGATGCTCAAAAGAATGTTGTTGTTCTCTCTAATATAATATCGACATTAGTTCACATTTTGAAGCGGGAGTTATTTGCTCACACAGAAAAGACGCGTTTGCCTAATTCTGCAATTTATATGAAATTAAAGTCTTCGGGAAAGATATTTTATTTTTATAGAAGAGCACTAACGCCAACATTATCCATAGTATACTCGAAACGGTGACAAGCGTCCGACTGCGGCAACTATCCGGCTTTTCCCCTATACATCATGTTTATCAACTTACGTCTTGACATTTTTGAAGTTTGTGAATATACTAATAAAAGTCCAGTTAGCATGAAAAATGTATCCACTGTTATATTGCCACTCGTCATAAAAAGTGACAAAAACGAATATGTGAACTGAAATTCATAAAGAAAAATATATAACTAAATTCAGATATACTGTGAATAATAAATTCAGACCTTTTTTTTTATTTTCAATAAAATCTTGGTTTCTACTATTGTGGATTTATAAAAAAGCAGTGTGGAGGATAAGGACTGTATTTTTAATTATTATTAAAGAGATAAGAAAACAGTGGTGGCAGTGACAAGGTAAAACAATCTTTTATAATGTCAAAAAAGCAATCTGAATAAAAAAAGTATCAAAAACTCATAGAAAAAACATATAATACGCGCATAAAAAAAAATCGTCTGTTTTAGTATTTATAGTATTTTTCAAAGTGTGCATAAGCAGAAGAAATAAAATGAGTACGAAAGTTCAGCGGTTACCAAATAAGCCACGTTCAATTCAGATCCTTACTGGTTCGCTCACGGATCTGACCGGCTGCGAATCCGCAGCACCAGACGTCATGATGCAGCGTAAAAGGAAGGAACCTGATTCCAACCACGTTCAGAATGAGACTTCGACGAGTTCAAGAAGGAAATTATGTCCTTCCTACACGACCTTCGGAAATCCAACGATGAACTTCTGCATAATGTAAGAACAGAAATCTCCGAGATGAAACTTCGGTAACTTCAATTATTAACAATTTATCACAGCAACATAGCGAATTCAAGCTAGAACTAGCGGAGTTGACCAAATCCATGGATTTTGATACAAAGTCATTTGATGATATACGAGAACAGTCGGTAGATTCTCCAGGTTCTATCCAGGGACGTTGCGTATCTTAAGAATATGGATCAAGACATTGAAGTATGTAGACTTCGTTTGTCACAGATACAAAGAGACCTTAATATCCAGCAGCAAAGAGAGCGCTTGCATAACCTAGAAATAGTGGGATTCATGGAGAATAAAAATGAGAACCTTACTGAGTGATTTTTATCAATGTGCAAAGCTTTGAATGCTCCAGTTGTTAAGGAAGATATTTTAAACATTCACCGTGTACCTTCGAAAATTTCCGACAAAAAGTATCCCAAAAATATTATCGTAAAAGAAAGAAAGGTCTTACATCTAATGACCTTGGTTTAACTACCTCCGATCCTTGGCGTATCATATTAACGAGCATTTAACGCCTTTTTACAAGATGCTGCATAAAAAGACTCGGGAAGCTGCTGCTGGTACTAACTATCAGCATGTCTGGGTACGCAATGGAAAAATCTTCGTTCGAAAAAAATACTACGCCTGAACTCAATTTAATGGATCTAAAGGACGTGGAGAAGTTGAAATGATCGGTTTGACTGTATTTATCATGATATTCAAAATTACTGTTCTTAGGGGAAGAATTCAATGTCTTTTTGAAGTTGTATACGTGTATTATTTGTATTTTACGTTTAATATTCTCAGCGACATGCAAGTTATTATAATTAAACGTATTTAAGTTTGTCTACGAATATTTCACAATGTTATTTGACCGACCATTTTAATGCTTATCTTAAGGGAAAACAATTGCCTTGTGTGCTGTTCTGTTTGGGATTGTCCATTCTGGTAAATAATTATTTGCATGTCTCATTTTATTTTGACAGCAACTTACTGTACGAATGTCTACGTACGAATCTTATAACGGAAGGTTCTTATTTAATCTTTATTTTTACATAGTTTATGAAAAAAAATGAATATAGTTAACAGCATATTAATAAATTTACATATTATCTTTCTATCATGGAATCTATTAAAAAATAATGTACAAACCACTAAACTAATATACATGGGCACTATTTACAATATACTTTATAATTTACATTTAAACTATTTACTGTCCTTGATTAATAACTTAACAAATGTAAATTTGTTTATCAAAGAATTTTGTGATTTGTTATGGATTGAAATGTTACTACTTTGCAATGGATCATGGTTATCTGGGGTGTAACTGTATAGTGATACCGTGTTGCAACTTTGGTGTCCTTAATGTACTATAATACTATTGGACTAAACTTTTAAGAACTGGTTTACTAAAACAAAAAACTTACAGCTATTGGTTATCTTATCTATTCTCAAACAATAAGTATTTTGTTGTGAATTACAATTTAATATTCACAACATTATTTAACAAAAAACGAAAGAGAGATATATCACTCTACTATTCTGTTTTTATTGTGGCTAATGAGTTTATAACCCTTATCGTTGAAACTTTTTTATCAAAGAACAATAAAGTCAAGTTAAGGTATCAAATTTTATATGTTTCATTATTTTACTATTATTACTGATATGGATACTAACAAGCATGATAAAGCAAACCTACACATTTACTACCAGAATGTTCGTGGTATACGTTCAAAAAATTTAAAGTTGTTTAACAATACACTAGCTAATGACTAATGACATCTTATCATTCACTGAGACACGGCTCCAGGACAACGTAATGAATACGGAATTATGTGATGTGTTTTGTCATGATCGCAACTTGCTGGTAACTAAGAAACAAACGGGAGGCGGTGTGATGCTTTGCGTCCGGCGTGAACTAGAGGCATCCTTGTCTAACGAGTGGCACGGAGCCGCAGCAACTGAGTCATTATGCATATCTATACTGGCTCGTGTATTTGGTTCGTCTCATAATTTGCATGTTATTTTAATTTAAATTCCTCCGGATTTATACTTTTTTTTAATCGATTAACCCAAACTGCAAATAGCATACAAAACATTACTGAAATGTATCCCTCGGATAAAATCATTATTTTATTTTATATTTCCTTGTTTTTTTACAGTATAACTAAATCGTTAATAAGACGGGGAAAGTTCTGGACTTATGCTTTAGTTATCACAGAGGATGGTTACCATCCTGCCCTTGATATTTGGGTAATGGACCTACAAGTGACCCCTCTAGTTGACATCAAAACTCGTCAGTAAGTGTGATTATGGTAAACTGAATGAATACTTTAGAAAAATTAGTTGGGATGAGTTGTTATTAAGTAGCTCAGTTAACGACGGTGTCAACTTATTCTATGACAAATTAAAAACTTCTTTTTCTTTATTTGTTCCTCTGTCAAATAGTCGTAAAGGGTCCTGTGGAAATACATAATATTAAAAATTTCAAAACATTATGCATCGCTCACCTCGTGTACATCAATTGGATTTGCCGGTACAAAGCTAAATTGAAGAGAGAATGTATGGATTAGTATCACCCATAGCATGGCCAATGCTCTGACTCCCTCAACGCAGTTTAACGCGTTCGCATCCGATCTAAATGTTAAAAACTTGCGAGTATTCGTAAAGACAGAGAAGGTCTTGTACAGTTTATTTGCTTTCTTCGAATCTGGAAAATAATATACATTTATATTTAATAGTTCATCTAACAATAATGCCATAAATCAATAACTCCCATGTATACAGAATGTCTTCCCATAAAGAGTTTATAACGATATGATGTTCTTGCTTAATAGTTAAAATTTATTAACACAGTCTTCAATGGCCGGACACTGGTTACAACTCTCAGGTTGACTAGTATATAATTTTATAGCTATTAACGGGATTGTTACCATGTACCTTGTTTTTTATGAGTCTCCGATATTAAATTTTCCGGTATACAAGATTGACTGCAGCTGTGGTAGTTCGTATATTGGCCAAACGAAGCGGACAATAGCGTGCCGAATGAAAGAACACATAAAAGCAGTCAGAAATAATGATACGCATAAATCAGCTATCGCGGAACATTTAATTGATTCCGGTCTTAATCACTGGATTGAGCTCCATAATCCACAAATTATTTCGATAGAATGCCACTACATACCAAGATTGGTCAGGGAAGCGATTGAAATAACCAAACACAAGAATTTCAATCGTGAGGATGGGTTTAAATTGTCAAATGTTTGGAATCCAGTGGTTCGTATGTGTACAAACCGCAAAATCAAAAAAGTGTCGTTCCGCGATCTGATACTGTGAGTATTGTGTGTCGAGAACAAGTGCGAATGAATAGTGAGAATGTGACCAGTGGTACGGGTATCGAGTGCAGTAAAAGACGACGTCAGAGGGTAGACCGATATGTCTGCCAATAACGTCTACCCGCAAATACTTCAGTTACTCCGTGATCATGGCGCTTGCAACAGTGCCGAAATATCGAAGACTCATAAAAAACAAGGTACATGGTAACAATCCCGTTAATAGCTATAATGTTAGTGACCATGAAAGTTTAAAACAATATATATAGTATATAATGCTAATAGCATTCAGTACCATAATATTGATAGGTATTGGTATTATCAGAAAGACATTAAACGTTTATCGACCGCAAGTGCCCTTATGCTGTCATGTGTTCATGTGTAACTTATGTGTCTAATGAATGTTTTAACTATTTTTTTGTGAATTTTAAAAATGCGTTTAATTACCAACAAACTAAATATCATAGTATTTCTGCTAGCTTTTTTACTTACCATTTTGAAGAATGATTGAATGACGAACGTCGTAGCAGGTGCTAAATATTGTCAAAAGCCCAATGGTAGAGAATATAGCACTGTAAATGTGAACAATTATTGATTCTATAATCAGAAATTTTATCTTTTCATGCAATCAATTTGTGTTATTAGCACTAATCAAATAAATCCATATCATTAAACGAAAACATGCAGTGCCACTTAGTTTTCAACATTTTGTGTGTTAAATTTTCTTGGAATTAATTTCCACGGACAAAGTTTCGAAATTGAGTTGATTTCTGAGTGAAGTGTAAAGCTGGGTCTCCACCGCGTGTTTTGCCCTTCACAATCACGAAACATATCAACCTTCCATAAAATCGTCTACACCATAACTATGTTTCACTACATATGTTTAAGCATGATTTACGCTACACCGTGTAAAACAACAAACATTATGGTATACCTTTTGTATGAAGTAATTAATGCTTGACCGTGGCTCGACCGTCAACGTCAAATCTTAGTGAGGTGAGCAGCTTTACAGCAAAATGGGCGATGAAAAATTATTAGAATGTGTGCAAATTCTCCTTCTGCTCCTCGCTTTCTCTAGGTTGGATGTACACCCCATCTTCTTTAAGTAGTTCCGCATCGTTTTTCTAATACTTCGTCATCGATGGCAATTGCAATAGCTGCCAATTCAAGTTGTGAAAATTGCATATTTACTCAAGCCTCGCGTCTGTCCACTGATGGTAAACGTGCCCCGGACGGGGCACGGCCTGGTCGCGACACGGTGTAACGTGAATCATCCTTTATTGTTTGCATCAGCAAAGTTTCTGCTTTCCGAGCCCGATGGAAACACGTACACAAATCGCCCCCGCGCGGGTCGAGGGGCAGGGTGCTGCGTCGGCTGCATTCCAAAACTTGGCTGCGAGTGCAACTTTTCAGTGTGACGTTTAAATTTTGTCATAAAATGTATAAAAATGTTGTCAAATTTGACATTTATAGCATTGGATGGTAGGTTTGGAACGCAACCCTGTGTATTTTGAGTACGACAGCCACGTGAGCAGTACGCGTCTTGTGTAGAGAAAAATATTCCAGAAATAAAGTTTTATGTATGTGTTTGTGTTGAATATTTTAAAAACACTTACACTGGAGACACAGCTTAAGAACAACTGATTTAGAAATACTTTACCTTAAGACTTACTTACATTGCTATATAATCAACTACTACCCAAGGTTTGTCATTGGGAAGTCGACAGAACACTTCTCTAATATCAGAAACTGCAGCAGTATTATTTGCTAAAATACTCAAAGCTTGTTGTGTAGAACATACTTTAGGTATGCATATTGCCAGTTCAAACTGAATGTAATTTTGCTTTACCTTTCGAGTTTCTCTGTGAAATATTTTTTTAGCTATCGTAAAAATATCTATATTTTATATTCATTACTATACTTTTAATTTAAATAGGCAATAAAAACAGTAATCATTGAATCGGTCAACAAACATAGAAAACTTTTATAAAGTAATTCAATCCTCGACTCACATTCATTTATTCAGTTTAGGCTTTTAGAAGCACAAATTAAACTCGAAATGCTACGCCGTCACGTCAGTTCACAAATCTACGACATCAGGACTACTAAAAGAGACAAAGCAAGAGACTCAGCAGGGTCTGTTTTATTCTCCCTGTTCATCGCATGTCATCAATATTGAACGATAGAATCAAAACCTATCAAACTAATTCTAGTTTTTTATTGTTTGATTTATGAAAATAGGTAAATTTCATAGAAAATAAGTTTTTAATTGTTTACCTTAAACCTTTGGTATACTTTTAAGAGAGTATTAATGAACGGCTTAAATTTAAAAGTAAGTACATATATTCTTATAAGTATTAGACGTTACATTCGAATCTTACGATAATAATAGGTTTCCATTGGACATTATTTATATACCATAATTTGGTCTTGATTTTTCATCTAAAGTTTTTGCTAACTTGCATCATAACAATAATATAATAAGAAACAAAAGAGAGTAAAGCTCAGTTAAATTGTTAATGTAAGTACATACAATAAAGTACTTACCCCGATTGCAGTTTTCCATTTACCAAAAGTTTTTCCAAGTTTGCATTTTCGAGTTCGTATTGTTGCAAAGGCTGATAGGTTTGCTTATTATTTGTCCTCGTATTAGAATCTTTCACCCAATGGTGATTATTCCAAGGGAAACCCAGACCTATCACTTCAAATTCTGCTATGTTTATGTTTCGAGGGAAAGGAACTTCTATTACACAATATTTTCCTTCTACTAGCATATTTTGATTTACTTCTTTAATATCCAGACATTGGAAATAGTTGCCCATGTCTCTGTAGTTGTTCAATAATATTCCACGAGGAGTTCTGATACCTGCATCAATAACTGAAACAAGTTGTAGAATAGGAGAGTTTTCATTAGTTGTACCTAAAGGTATACATTAATAATAAATTAAGTTAGAATGAATTACTTTTATACATTTTACCACCGTGTTTTGCAATAATTATGAAGCATGTTCTTTCCCTTATTAATTATTATTTACTAATTTTTTCACTTACATTGTCCTTTTAGTCCAAAGTTTTCGTTATTAGTAATGTAGTCAAGTTGTCGTATACATTCTTGCGTATCCAAAACTTTTTCATACAGGCCGTGGTCAAGAGCAGAGTTTTGATTATTTATATTTGCACTTACGCATATATGCACAATAGTCATCATAATAAATTGAAAAACAAGTTTACTCAGCAAAATCATTTTAAATGATGCAACTTATTATTAGTATCGGTTAAAATCTAACATTGAAATGATAACTAAAAAAGAAAAATGAAGTAGAAAGAAACTTATCTCATTTTCACTCACATCACTCATTAAATAAAACAACCTTTTTATGAATTCGCTTTTTACGAAAGCGTCGTCAGAAATCCTGAAACGGCTGCGAAACGTCAATAAATGAATAAAATAAGTGCATCTAAACTTATTTTATTATCTATTTATAATATATATATTTATCTTATCTAATGTTTAATCAGCATTGTAGATTACTGATTACAACTTTTGTCAATATTCCATCATTGAGGATGATTTTAAAACCAAAAAATATTTTTTATAAAGATTTTGACAATCATTATTCTAACCGAAGATGTATTTCTTCCAGAAAATGGTACATTATAAATAACTTGTATGTATAGCTACTGTAATTATTAACACATTCTCATTATTTAATCTTCTCTCTTTATTTCATTATCGATTTTTAGTATTAGACAAACAGTGTAGTAAATCAAATGGAGACCGATTGATTAACGAACTACAATTACAAACCTGCCGCTTTACTAACGTCTACTTTGTTTTATTGAAATGTCTTTATTATATCATTTGAATGATATGATAAAGGCTTATATAGTTTTACAAAAGATACATGTTAAGGTTTGAGCCCCAGACTGACCTAGATTGGTCGTAGAAGAAAAACATTGACACAATAATCATGTCAGTATGCTAAGTAATCTAATAAATATTTTGCGTCATCTCGCTATTAAACACTCGATACTGTTTCTTCTATAATATAAAAAAGATTTCGATGTAGGTACTAAAGGCGAAAGTTCTTATAAAAGAATTTACCTATTGGTTTTCTACTTACCATAATATATACGTACCAAAAATGGTATCATTAGGTGGATTAGGTTCAACATCGCGATACAGCGTGTAACCCAGACACCCAGACGCATAAATTGTAAAACAAACAGAAGCCAATATCGCAGACAGGTAACTCAATATCTGTAACATATGCAGGTTGAAAATTTAGACAAAACCAATAAGACAGACATGAGAAATTAACAAGGGTAATTATCTCATGCTATCAGACAGCCTGTCCTCTCAGTACACTATCATCCAACTCGGATACCAGCCAGTCATGGTGGGGTCCCGGGCTATACCTTTAAATTCCTATTTAAATTAATTAATAACACAATACAGGTACCCTCTTAAATTATGTCTAACACAAACAATAAAGTAATGTTAAACTTCCTGTTAATAGTTACCCATCTAAAACTTCTAGTAAATGTGTTTATTTTACCAATTTATTGCATCAGATTTTTTTTTATAGATAGGGCCGACAAATGACTCCAGCCCACCTAATGTTAAGTGAAGGTGAAGTCCAGACGCGAAGATAGCTTATACAGCAGTTCTACCTGCTACACCAGCCATCCTTACCCTGCTGGCCTGCATGTTGCTTCTTCACGCCTCTTTTAAAGGATCCCAGGTTGTAAGAGGGAGGGTACCCGTGAGCGGGCAGAGCATTCCATTTACGGATAGTGCGACAAAGAAATGAGTCACCAAATTTCTTTGTACGCGTTGGAATTGTGGCCACAGTTAGACAGACGGTGACAACGTAGGCCAGCGCGCATGGTCCTCTGAAGGAAAGGAGAAGGTGGGATAAGAGAGAATAACTCCTCAGAACACTCGCCGTGGTACAGACAATAGAATATACAAGGAATTATAGGTAAAGACTTAAAAATATAGTTATTCATGAACTGTTATAATATAGTCTTAAACGCTAACAGTTCATGTTTAGCTTCAATAAGCATCATATATTGGTAGTTCGTTTAGTCGAGAAAATGCAGTCCGTGGCGGCTCCTTAATTATATTAAATAAACAAATGAAATTTAGGGAACGTAAAAATATACTGAGCCTCTCAGTTGAACGTACAAAAGAGATTGCCTGTGTGCAGTTGTACCAGCTTGTTGTACTGAGTGTATACAGAACACCATCACAGTGAAATAATTGTTTTGAAATTATTATGGACGAAGCGGTAAAGAAAGTCCACACTTCAGGCAAACAGTTGATTGTCTGTGGTGACTTTAATATTAATTGATTAGAAAATTCTAACTTGTGTACAAACATCTAATGCATATTTCAATCATACAATGTAAAGAATTTGTTTGTGGAGCCAACTAGAATAACTTCTTCTTCAGCCACTTGTATTAACAATGTCTATACAGATCTTGTACCACTTTCAAAACAGATCATCAGTCAACTAGATTCTGATCATTGTGGCCATCTTGCTTTTCCCCAGCAACGTAAACAAGTGGTAAAGAAAGTTATAAATGTTGTACCAAAAACTTCAGGTCTTTTGAAACGTTTTGAATTAACTTAGTAAAAAATTAAGTTACATAAAGTACAAACACAATCCAAACGCCTTGTACAATGATTTTTTTAAATTTTATTGGACAGAAATTAACAATATGTATATTTGTTCCAAAATAAGTTACTATTAGTAATGATATACTTTTTAGTGAGTCGGCTACGGCTGGTTTATATAAAAGTAGAAAAAGACTTTATGAACTTTACGCAGAACGAAATTATAACACTAGTGCAGATTTCAAACAGTATGTTAGCCAAGTCTAAATATCTCAGCTCAAAAATAGTAAAGAGATAATAAAAATGACCTAGAATATCATAAATAATGAAACAGGAAAGTCTAAGATCAGAAATAGAAATTATAAGCTATACAACAATATATTGGCATCAGGCTTAATTTATGAATTCTACTGTAAGTTGACTAATTTCTAACGACAATAGGCTTACACTACAATTAATTAGAGGACACAGTGACTCAAGGGGCAACGATGCAGTAGACTGCTTAGCCAGGGAAAGGTCCAGCAGGATGGTCAATGGCCCGAAACCAATTGTACCCTATCGATAGCTGAAGCCTTGGGTAAGGGAGCGCTGTCAACGACAACAAGACGAATACTGGGCGAAACTTACGGACTGCAGGCTAGGGAAGGGACGCCGTTCCTAAAGTAATCCCGCAGTTATCACGTAAGTTCATCAGACTACCTAGACAAGCCCTAAAACAAATGGTGGGTATAATCACGGGTAACGGCTATTTCAACAAACACCTTTGTAATATAGATATAGAATTTCTTACAGCCCTCTGTGCAGAGTCTACCTGGAGGAAGAGGAAGCGAGCACCCATGTTCTGCTGGAGTATAAAGGCATTGCAAAACGAAGGACTTGGATGGCAGAACTGATCCCAATCCCCACACAAAATGGGCACTGGGTGTCGAGTCGCAGAAACAACACGCCTTACTACTACTACTACGGACGTACCATAGATTCTTAGCGCGATCTTAAAGGTAACTGATTCTAGATAAACCTTTACAAATTATACTGATTGGAACTCGAATAAGAATAGACCTATTGGAACTCGATTAAATCTGCTAACTCTCTAGAAAGAGAGAAATGGATGGTGTAGCTAAATCCTACACGAACTATTAACCGCATAATCGCTTCATCTCTTTTACATTTATGTGACCGGTTTTCTTTAAATCTAAACAGAGAAAGACAGTATCGGTGTTTAAATGACAGCATGCTCCGTTGGTTTGGTCATGTTGAATGAATGTAATGAGAGAATGACGTAATAGATACGAAGCGATAGTGGAGGGCTGTAGGAGAGGGAGGGAGAGGAGAAGAGGTATTGCGATCAAATTGATCGCATTTTAAATGTAAGAGGTCACGTCAGAAGCCGAAAAAACTGGCGGGCATGTATGGAAAACGTAATGAATGTAAACTGGTAGACGATGAATGACAAAGATGATTGACCGTGTCTTACGGACCTCTATTATCTATTTCTCTCTGCCTACTCCGAACACCCGGTCCATTGTCTACGAGTTCATAAGTTACAAAGTTTTATTAGTTTTTAATTAGCCTGCGTGTTTCTGAATGTTATGTAAGGAAGTGTTTTCAATTCATAAATTGTTTTTTTTTAATCACACTACAAGAAAGATATCATGAAGGACTATTCGCAAAGAATTAGTAAATTTTTGTCGATAATGATGATGATGACCTACAACAAGCTAGATCGTTTGTTGATCCTAAAATCGATTGATAACATCACTAGGGCAATGTATTTAGATCACGAGAAATACTTATTTAATTAATAGGGGTGTGAATCTTTGTTTGTGCCAATGGATAATGTATAATCTAATATGACTAGCTTAACGCTGTGCTAGTGTGATAATGTTTTTAATACAAACTTACTATATATTTTTTTATCTAATTATATTATATTAATTTCTTATGTTTTCACGCACTGCAATCATTAAACTCGCTGACGAGAGTGTTAACAACTTGAAATTGAAAGAAGAAATAGCAATTACAGTTATGATTTTATTTATTTTTAAGCATTTAACTGCTAGATGTTTAAATCTAAAGAAAAGTTTACTAGAAAAAAATCCACGCGGACCAGGCAGCGGACGGGACTCGAACCCGCATCCTTCGCTATCCGGGCGAATGCACTGACCATTATGCTACCACGGCCCTATTAGCCGCGTCGAAATTTTCCTAGCCTTAAGCTGCAAGGCAGCGCCATCTCTTCGCATTGTAGGTAACCCACAATGTCAAATGAATACTTTTTCAAGTATTAAACATTTGAAAGAAGAAATAGCAATTATAGTTATGATTTTATTTATTTTTAAGCATTTTGTTTAATACTTGAAAAAGTATTCATTTGACATTGTGGGTTACCTACAATGCGAAGAGATGGCGCTGCCTTGAAGCTTAAGGCTAGGAAAATTTCGACGCGGCTAATAGGGCCGTGGTAGCATAATGGTTAGTGCATTCGCCCGGATAGCGAAGGATGCGGGTTCGAGTCCCGTCCGCTGCCTGGTCCGCGTGGATTTTTTTCTAGTAAACTTTTCTTTAGATTTAAACATCTAGCAGTTAAATGCTTAAAAATAAATAAAATCATAACTATAATTGCTATTTCTTCTTTCAAATGTTTAATACTTGAAAAAGTATTCATTTGACATTGTGGGTTACCTACAATGCGAAGAGATGGCGCTGCCTTGCAGCTTAAGGCTAGGAAAATTTCGACGCGGCTAATAGGGCCGTGGTAGCATAATGGTCAGTGCATTCGCCCTGATAGCGAAGGATGCGGGTTCGAGTCCC